ATTTGAAAAGGGAGCTTGTTTTTTAAAACATCAATCCTTCACTGTTAGAGCTGTGACTGCACACAGGTGGCAGAGAAGAAGAAAGAGAACTTAAGACTGGTTACAGGATGTGGCAAACCACAAATGCTGAAACTACATCTTATACCAGTTTCCAGGTTCCCCATGTACTGCTTCCGCATGACAGCACATAACTGGCTTCTCTTTAATCCTCATTAAGCTTTTGTAAAATTACATTTCCTATGTCATGGTCAAAATTACATTTATTTGTAGGACTTAAAATGCACACATTGGTACTGATGTAAAACATCGCTACAGACTTTCTTGAAAAGGTATAATTAACAAGGTGAACGCAAAAGCCTCTGGAGAAAACAAAGCTTTTTGATCATTTCTATATTAATCTTTGAACTACTTGAATGCAAACAACTGCTTAGGCCCGGTGATGAAATGTGACACCTTTTCCTGCAGATGGCAGCAAAGTCCTTCGGCATTTTTGTTTTTGTTGAGAACAAAAACAAAAATGCCACATCTTTGCAATGCAATTTTACCAGCTGTGCTGTCGTGTGTTTGAACAGTTTATAATCCATCTACCCTCCCTTCTTTGTCCATCAGAATGTCATCCTGGTCCTCGGTTATGAATAGTGGCATGCAGTGACAGTGATTTGACGGATTAATGGAGCAGATCCATCACTCATGCTTTGAACACAAGTACAAGAGACACAAGGAGTTAGGAGATCTTCTCTCTCTGCATTTTATTTATTGGGGCTCCATGGCTGCTCATGTACATCATCTATACTGAGCTGCGCTCTGCGCGGCAAATCAGTAAACATGTAGCACTGCGGCCCGCCTGACACGTTTATGATTCTGGCTGCAGTTCAAATGTCGGTAAATCTTCCCATATAAATGGCAGTCATAAACATCTAATGGGCTGCCATGAATATTTTAGAGCCCTGAATATCATACCGAAATGACCTCTGGATAGCTGCACCCTTAACAAGATGCATTCCTCAGATGGACAACCTCCCCAGCCGGTGCAACACAAGGCGCCTTTTCTGGTTCTCTGGCTTTTTTTTTTTTTTTGTTCTTTCATAGCGTGATTGGATTGATTTGTCATTTGCAAAAGGAAAGAGCTTGGCCACGGGGCTGTGGATAATCCAATTTATCGCTTTGCCATTTATTACAAATTTCTGTGGCTTTTGGGTCCACTGTCACATCGATTCGTTGATTGCTTGCTTAGCTGGGTCCTAATGAGCTGCTGTCTGAATCACTGCATAATCGCTGCCCTAATTCACTTCCTCGCCTACCCTCACACTCGGTCTCTTGGCTTGCCACTGTTACAGCAGAAAGGACTCGAATATTTCTCAGAACGGACAATTAGGAACATCTTTCCTGAAACAAAAGGTGCCATTGTGTGTATATTACCTTTTGAAAAATGACAACACTTTCCTTCCTACTTTACTGAATGTTTTCACAGCTTGCAGTGAGAGTTTATCTGGGTTTGACATGTATATTTTCATCTAATCTACATGTAAGCAACAACAGAAAGAAGATAGATAAAAGACCAATTTTGAGGAGGCACATTCAGTTAAGGTTATATTCTTTAAACTGAATTTTTTGATATACAGTTTCACATTTTGTCACTAGATGACAGGATTGATGGCACAAGAGGATATAAAGTGGGTCACACATTTTTTCTTAGCAGAGCCCTAAGAATTTGCTAAACATAGTCTATAAATATCTTTTTAATTTTATTTCTCAAGGTCGATATTTGCCAACCTAAAAATGTCAAAAGGATTCAGTTTGCTCAAGTTTATATATTTTAATGTACATTACAAAGAAGGCGAGACAAGAACAAGCAATTTTAAGTTACTTCAGGATGAAAAAATTACACCAGAGATTCATTACTGTATGACCTAACAGGTGAGGTAATACTTTCATCATTGTATCGACTATTGGGTGGGATACATTTGGCAGAAAGTGAATATTTTGTCCCCTGAATTGATGTGATATTAGAAGAAAAAATGGGCAAGAATAAGGATATGAGTGAACATGACAAGGGCCACACAGGTGTGGCTGCACAACTGAGTCAGAGAATCTCTTATCTGCGAGGGTCAAGGGTATTTATCAATCATGGAAAGACGGATCAGAGGGAAATACACAATAGGGATATGAGGCCAAGCTTCAAGGACAGCCGATGTGGTCCAAGCAGAAAAGAAGCTCGACTCTTAGTACCTTGAAATGTTTGTATGTGAGCTGTGGGTAGCTTGTTGCCTTTGGTTTCCTATAACAACCTCCTCTGGTCTACCAACCTGGTATACCAGGTTGGTAGACCTATTCTACATTCTGAAAGTCTGAATGACCTGATGGCTCAACAATTTTTCAGGGACATACTTAGAAATAATGTATCCTTCACAAAGGAGACATATTTCTGTGGTGGCTATAAAAGTTCTCCTTTCATATATACAAATCACACGATATTAGAAATCTAGTGGTCTAGAACAATAGTGAAATGCAAAACTTTTGGTCTCAACTCAATCAAACCTAATATTTTTTACTTTAAGGTTAGCGGTTATTTGAAGACCTTCTCCTGAGGACAGACGAGAGAGCAAATACCACCAGGTGAGGGGTTTTCCTCTGCACCAATATCAGATTGGCTGGGTGGCATTTATCAAGCTTCAAGAGGGGCTTAAGGACACACCAGGATGTTTGTGAAGAGGCTGGTGGATAAATATAGGCGGGAGCTAATCAAGTCATCTATCAACAAAAGGATGCACCATCTGTTTGCTTCATCACTTGTCCTGTGGCTCACATATATTTATTTATTTTAGAATGCAGGTTCCAGTCTGCTGAGCTACAAAGCAAGTGTTGATGCAATTAGACTAGTATGGCTCAAGAACAGTAATTTTTAAAAGATGGAAAAAAGGCAATAAATTGTTGTGATTTAAAAAAAAATGTAATCATATTTACCGATTCGTCAATTCTATTCAAATATTTATTTGAACATTTAAAAACATCTTTATTGTGCTAATACATCTTTTTAAAATAATTCCTAATTCAGAAATTAAACCAAGATGAAAATATTATTAGAATGGTTGCCACACAGAATCCAAAGACTTGCGTGAGAATAAATATTGAGTTGCCATGGCATCAGGCTGCAGTCGGTGATTGTTAGACATAAAAGCAAAGCTCAATAGACGCTTCACACAAAGGTACTGACGTATTTTTCAAAAGCAGAGATGAAAACAAAACAACTCTATTGGCATGAACAAAGTTATGGAGTATAGGTGAAATATGAAAATATAAGACAGATGAAAGCTATTAATGTTCAAGCTGGAATGAGCCATTTAGCATATTGTAGGAAATTGAAAACTAGCAGATTAGAATTACCATCGGCTACTGTTTTAAAAGCACCGTAATAGAAAAGACAGTCCTAACTGGTTCATGAATGACTATCAGTAGACTCTTTCATAAGTGTACGTATTGATCTTGCTGTTTTATATTATTTTAACAATGTTGAATAATAGTCACTGTGATGAAAGTTCCTTTGACTTTGAATGATATGTTGCAGGTATTTGCAGGCTAGGTTGTCAACTATATTGTTTAAGCCAGATCACCCTGATAGAACATATTTTTCAGAAGACTTCTCAAACTTTCATACCTTTCAGGCAGAAAACCTGCCACTGTTCATGCTGAGTTGACTCAGCAGTAATCCTTTAAAGACCACCCTTGTCTAGAGTGTGGTCCATGCTTTGCTCCATGGCATGTGTGGGACGATCCACAACCTGCGACTCCAAACAGAATAGATTTGTTATAGAGGTGGGGCGATGAGCTGACAATTTGATGCCAAAAACACAGTTTAAAGAAAATGGGACAAGAAACAAGAGACTCGACAAGTCATAAAAACATGGGTGAAACATGAATATGTGACCCTATGACACAGACAGTACTGTAAAGGCTCAAGCCTCAAGACAGACATTTACACATACAATGACATAGCATGAGTATATGGACAATATCAACAAGTGTGCCAAAAAAAGCAACTGTGACTGTAGCCTAATGATGAATATCTTAAACGCTTTCATGTTTTTACATGACACTTTAACTTGTTACTGTTGAAATCAGATTTGTAAAGGAACTATAAAAGACACATGAGCTTTTCTGTCTTATACTGAGTGAAAATAAACATTTACTGTTATAGGTCAGTTCCGTTACAAAGATTTTTTTTTTTTTTTTTGTGACACCACATGTTCTACATTTAGAGGGAGAATGGGAAAGCTTGACAGCAATGAAACACAACCCCAACAACTTTATGGGTTAATATAAATGAATGTTTTGGACTGGCTAGCACAAAGTACTAATTGCCAGTCCTGCAGAGTATTTTTAGATCATATTTAATTAGTTACACCACTTAGCAGGAATGAGCTGAACCTCCAGCAAAGAGTGAGAGAAATGTCTGAAAAATGCCCCCTAATTTCTGACAAAACTCATGTAAACATTAAAAAGTTTTAACTAAAAGTATGTTTTACTATTCTGCCATTTAGCAAAAAAGAAATGTTTGGTAATATAAACTGATATAAAGGACTACAAGTTTAGTCAGATGTAATGCAAGACAAACAGTAAAAAATATATATATTTTTTTACAATAGAACAGTGTATGTAAATATTGGGTTTCAACTGTACTTATTGGCACTATGTAATGTTGCTTTTAAACACACATTCCTCCACACAGTACATATATATTCACACTCTGCATGTCCAACCCTCATTCAAATACATTGCCCCATTTCACAGGACATTACTTGCACAAACTACCTCCATGCTCATTTGGATCTTGTTAATTTATATTGCAGTTTCCTTTTGTTTACTCATTTTATCTTGTATTTATTTTTAAGAATACTCCATGTTCCTCCTTTTACGGAGCCCTCCAGGGGACAAATAAAGTTTTTTGAATACAATATCAGGATGAATGTTTTGGAAGACAGGAAAAAAACAAAACACAAAAACGCTTTTCAGACAACATTTCTTTAATACAAAGTCAACATATCTACATACACAGTGGCTTTTAACCAATTATTGTTTCAGTTAGAAGTAACAGTTTGAAAGTGGTAGCACTTGGCCCTCGTATAAAGGAAAAATGGTTTGCTGAGTTTGGGTTCTTTTGTCGATATGTACTATATAAGCTTAGTTCTTTTTAATAAGTTTTTTTTTTTTTATGGTCACTGTTACTCCCTAACCTTTCCACAATATTTATCAACATATTCCAGGTAATTTTGTGGTTGTTTTCAAGAGTTAGCATCTTTACTTGAAACCAAAAGAATAACACATTGCACAAGCTTTAAGACGCTTCCACGGCTTCAAATTCTGGCATTGGCCCTTTAACCAGTCTCTATGAATTCAGACAGATTAGAGTTCACCGTTAAATCTTACGACGTGAATTTGCAGCATGTTTTTGGTAGTTTCAGTCCGTCCTTGGTTGCATCCCACTACTGTGTTTCAACCGGATTTCTTTCTGCATCCCATCATGAAACATGGTTAAACAAAAAACAATATGGTTTTATACAAGGCAACAGCAGGAAAAATAATTTTAAATGTCGCAACTGAAGCATGTATGACCTTTTTTTTTCCTTTCTCGCTAATCATACATAATGGATTAACACCTTGTGAATGCAGGTAGTTAGACATTTGGCATTCCTGCAGAGATCTGTGAAATGCCTCTGAGAAAAGTAGTACTTCCAGGAATCTATGCCCTTGTAATTTATTCTTTTGAAGCTCCTTTAGTAAATTTTGTCTATGTTGAAAATGATTAATGATTCTTGTGTTTAGTTGGTAGAGAGTGAACCAACATATTGGTTTAATCCAACTCGCGGATCACTGATCAAGATTTGTTTTCCCCTCATTCAGGCAACGGGTGTGGGAACATAGGCTGGCACGTTTCCCAGTTTGACTGCTAGCAGGGGAAATTAAAGGCAGAAAAAAGAGAGGTAATTAAAGACCAGGGAGCAGAGCTGGAGAAAGAAGGTTTGAGAAAACAGGTTTCGCAAACAGCAAGAAGCTGGAAATGAGCAGAACTGTGATCTGTGCATTAGTGTTCCCCACTAAAATTATGAGATCTTTAGGGTCAAATGATACATATATTCTATATATATTTGTTTATTTACACATATACTCTAGATCATAGTGGATGTCTAATAAAATCAATGGTAACATTATGTCTGAAAATATAAGTAAAAAAAGAGAACTTTAAGAGGTTTTTTCTTCTTCAGATTGTGAGGGTTACGGTCTGTACAGAATCATACAAGGTACAGTACATCATTGGCCTGATATAGACATTAAAAATGCTGAGCGATGAAACCCCGACAGTTGCAGAACAGATTACAAAAATTAACCAAACATAACATCATAGTGATGATGAAGGACAATGTTTGAAAATAGTGTCCCTGTGGGTACGAGTTAATTTCAATGGACAAAAGCAAAAAACAAGATCAAACACAAAGATGGCATCCCCTCAGGGTTCTTGAAGAGACATTCAGGGTCTCCAGAATTACACAATAATAATAACAACAACAATAATAATAATAATAAAAAACATATTTTCAAAGACTAAAGATAACAGGTATAAAACAAACTGAATGAAAAGAAAATGTCATTTCACACTAATTGTTTGGATATATCTTCTGATTCTGCATTTAAATATATATGCATGCGTAATTAGGCATTTATTAATCTCTCTATATAGATATAGCCTTATATCTATATATAGAAATACATGTACCCCTACACTGTCATGTTATACTTAGGATTTCTACGGTGAAAAAATAGAATGTCTTTTAACATAATATGAACATATAAGCATTTCTCTTTTTTTCTGCTAATTAAAAAAAATGTGACAAACACATCTCTGTTAGAAAAAAAACTAAACCAGAAACAGAAAATAAAAGCTAACTATGTCATGTAAAATAAGTCATCATAATACAACATTAATGTTTTCATAGTGTTACAATAACAATAAGGCTGTTTTGGAAATCAGAAAAGATCACACACAGTTCTGTCCATAGCTTCATGTTTTTTTTTGTGCACATCTGCCAGAAAGCCCTCACAGAATCCATTCGCTCATGTGTACCAAAGCGCCGTATTTGAGATAAAATCTTGGTGATTTTAGCTTTTACTGTTTTGCAGTTGAATTGGGGTGTTTGTTTCAAGTTTTTTCTCTGTCTTGCCCTGGGGATGTGCAGGTAACGAGAAATTTTGCATTGGGATCCGACGTGGCTACTTGCTCTGGCTGTGTCACCCACTGGGTCATCGTCTATAAAATAGAGGGGGAAAACACCAAAGCGTCTTGTTTTGTTTGTTGACCGGTTACCAACCACACATTCAGTGAAACTCGGGGCCAATTTGTCAACAATGTTAATGTACACCTTTGCAATTGCAAGCGGTCTTTGCTGCTCTTGATTTTCTTGTACAATGATAGAGGTGGATATAGAGGAGGCTGGAGAAAAATGAAAACTGGATAAAAAAAGCAGCGGTGGACAATGACGTCATGTGGATGCGTTTCTGTCATGCCCACCTGGGCGCAAGGAGTTGGCAGAGCTGGCATTTTTTTGTTCATCAGTTTGCTCTTTATCCAAAGAGTCACACGCTCAGCATACACAAGATAAGCAGCATGTTTGGTTTTTAACAGAAGAGAGAACTTAAAGAGAGAAAAGAAAAATAGATTTTTGTCCTCAAAGGACAAAAAAGTTCCAAACAATAATGATGACTATTGGTCACTGTACACAAAGAAAGGCCCACATTTGGCAGCGTTTCTTTGTTTGGTTGTTCCAAAGCCTTTTCTTCTCACTGGACTGAGGGGTGGATGTTTTCTGCATCAGCCTCTTGGCGCCATGGTTTAAGAGAGAGACAAGATTGTTAAAAAACATGGGACAAGGTTACTGTTTGCATCATCCACATGAGAGGCAAAGCCAACGATTCATATGACTGACATGGTTTTCCCTTAATCTTTGCCATTTTTTCTGTAGGAAGTTTTTCCTGGAAATATCCTGTTGAGATTTTAACTATACTAGGGTCACCTGGCTTAGGAGGCAGGCTTTACACATTAATACAATGGAACAAATTTACGATATGTGCTGCTGCTTTCTTTTTGACAACCACTGGGAGTGTGCTTTCTTAAAGCTCTTTGTGCTTACAGGCAGTTTGGTGACATTTTCTTAAATTGTAGAGGAGGTTTTCTGCACAACTATTCATAATGTAATTGTATGTAGAATTGTGTAGAAACTCAAGGTTTTCTTTCAATGGCCGGTTTACTTGTTCCATTTCAGTTGATGATCAAATGACCAAAGTTTGGGAAAACTTAGGAGTCGCCACAGTTTGGCCATATCTCAGGATAAAACTCAAAAACAGTCAATAGAAACACTTAAATCCTTTTTTTTTACATCCAAAACAGGCATGTGTCCCAGTCCTGGCTACATCCATCTGCTTCTCTTTGATTTTCGCTCCATTTTTCCTTCAATTGCGGTTGTTTGTTGCCGCTGTGTCATACAGATATTTTTAGAAGAGAAATGTCCACGAATGTTTACAACTTACTCCACTGAAACACTTGAGGTAAGGTAAGCAGTCTGACACTTTGATTGATACCCATCCCACAGCGTGAGCCACAGCCTCTGGTTGCTTGTTGCTGAGAATTGTCTTCAGTTGAAATCATGGGCAATTTTCCTCTCTGCCTTGAGTCTGAATTGGAATTTCTCTTTTTCTGGTCGTATCGGGTGTTATTTTCTAAAAATTTACAGGATCCTGTTTGGTGTTTCTGAACGAGCAGTGGTAAAATGATCAACCGCTGTCATTTCAAATTTGAAACGTTTCTATGGCTCAGGAAACCGTTGAGTTGGGAGAGGAGGGGGCAACAGGATTCTGAGGGGAGGAGATGGCTTTTTACGTTGCATAGTGATCAAAGCTTCCTAAGTACTCCAGAGCTGCATGATAGCAAAATTGGTATTCATCCTGTAGAAAATAAAAAGAAAAAAAACATCAGGTAACTGTTTTGCATTTACACCAAGAAGAAAGTGTTCAACTTTTTGTCAGTTTTAGAAAATTTCTGACCTCTGTCTGGACCATAGCTGGCCTCTGTGTCCGGAGCATCTTCACTGTTTGGAAGATATCTACCACTCCCTCATAACGCATTCTCTCCAAGACGATGCTGAGGGTTATGAAGACTCCAGTTCTTCCCACTCCAGCACTAGATTTAAGAATCATGCAAGAGAAACAAAAAAGATAAAGAATTGTGCTCATTGCAGACACATAAAAAAAGTGACTCTATTTCAATCATTCTGTTTTCCAGATAAGTCAAGATCATTGAAAAAAAGCATTGAAAATGATGCCCAGGAGCTATACAATATGTGCACTGAATACATGACTAATACTACGTTTACATGCAAGAAGGCGGATCAGCCAAAGCTGCTTTAACAACAACCTTGAGCACATGTACATTGCTGCCTGGTGTGTCTCATCCTCTTCCACCAGATCATCTTTTAGTTTTAGGGCAGACAAGTTTGCTGGTCAATTAAACAGTGATCCCATGGTCATTAAACCAGATATTAATACTTTAGGAAGTGTGGGTAGGTGTCAAGTTCTGTGGGAAAAATGAAATCAGCATCTCCAGGAAGCTCTTTAGCAGAGGAAAGTGTGAAGTGCTATAAATCCTGCTGTTAGACAGCTGTCTGTTTTTTCATACCAGACTCAGGGAACTTGATGTTCAAATTGAAATGCAAAATTTACTTTCTTTTTCACTTTAATCCAAAAAGTGGATTTTGCACCACTCAGTAACCAGAGACATTGTGTCTGGTTCAGCAGTAGCTTAACTCAAGAAATGTAACACTTGTAGCCCATGTCTTGGTGTGTGTGTGATGAGCTGCGATGCACTCGAACCACAGTCCACACACTATGAATCTCTTCGAAACACTTTGTTTCACACATCTATTAAGGTTGTGTCTATCATTGTTGTTTGTAAACCTGTCCTCAGCTGCAGTTCTTTTCTTCCACGTAGCTTTCCATTTATATCCTTGAGAATAGCGAGATATTTTAGCAATGACCCTCCTGAAACTCTTCTGAAGGAAGTTAATGACTTTTTGAGCAGTGGTCAACTCAGGACTCTTGCCCATAATGAACACTGAATTTCTGCTTTTTGTGTAATTTTCTACCTAAATTTTCTCCCTTAAGTACAGTTTTTTAAATTTTATTTCTATGTACATTTTTGTTTAAATTTTAGGAGAAACATAATTTTTGAGAATCATTATCTTTAAGCCATTATCATAAAAACCTGAAGGGGAAAAAAAAACATAATTTTGTGTTTAAATCTGTCGAATATCTGAATATTACGTTTTGAACAAATTATTGAAGTGAATTAACTGTTTGATGATGTTCTGCTTTATTAAATTAAATATTCAAAATACCCCTGAAAGGTAAGTTCAAATTGCATAAAATAAAAATTCAAACTTTTCATAAAATACACGTCATGACAAAGAGAAGGATTTAGTTGTAAGAACTCTGCATGTTGATAGCTCTGACTTTTGAGAAAGCAACAAAAATCCACAGCAAGAAATGATGCTCAAGGTAACAAGAACAATGGCAGCAAGGAGGCAATTTGCATGCAAGAACCCTGCGAATCTACTTATACATGTGCCTCCATTCTTGTCCTCAAGGACACATGCACACATTAAAAATCACACACATACACACAAACAACATTTAGTCTCATTAAGCACATCTTTCCATGTGTTGGAAGGAGAAAAAAAACCTAGCCTGCTGCTGGTCCCCAGAAATACAACTCGAGTTTTAACTCAGACGCTGAAATACTTGAGAGTTGGCCCTGTAAGCTGCTTTGCTGCAAAATGACTTCCACATCACCAATGGAACAATAATTGATATGACAACAGATTTATTTGAGCTTCTTGCCTTTGATGCCACTTTGTAGGATGAGGAGTGAAAATTATGGTTACAGACACTGTAGCTGACAACTGTGTGTGTGTGTGTGGTCGACAGATGTTGCTCATATTATTTCACCAAATCTAAACAGTATCAAATGCCGCGCTCTAATCATGCAGTGCGTACAATCACCCCACCATCAGGCGCAAAATCCTAGCCCACCCAAAGATGCTTCCTGGGACTTCTCCTTCAACCTCCTCCTCTCCAGATCCAAATCTTAAAGAGTGGTAAGCCACTGCAGACTGAGAGGATTTGGTGCCCCCCCCCCATTCACAGAACGTATTCATGCAATTAATAACAAAAAGCATGTGGTGCTATTAGATAGAGGAAGAGTGAAGAAGGGGAGGAAGCAGAGCTAGAGGGAAAAGATCCAGGAGAATGGCTGGGTGGGAAAGAAGAGCGAGTGAGAGGATTAAGGAATAGGCAGATGACAGACTAGGAAGTCTGGTGATGGAAAGCTAAAAGTAAGAGAAAAGGGAGACATAAGCTCTTCTCATGAAGATAAGAAAGCCCAGGAGAGGAGGGGAAAAGAAAAAAATAAGAAAAAGGTGGCTGTTATACTGCAAAATAAAAACAAATATCCATCCCCCAAAGAAATATATTTTCAAAGTAAGAACTCTTCAAAACAACAGCAGTCTGACGACCATATTATTTGGCTGATTTTCTGGATTTTGTCTATTTACTATTATTTTAGTCTTCTCTACTCAAAACCTCTCATATGACAAATGTCCAGATTTTTCTTCCTAGACCTCAATTTCCCATGTCCTGAATATCAAAATACACATAAATATATGACATAAAAATAGCAACTAAACCTATGGAATCACTTGGCTTTTGTATTTTGAGATATTTAACATATAGTAGCTTGTGAAACTATTCATCCCTTTCACATTTTTCCATTGACTTCAAAGTGTTTGTAGACACACAAACACATCTTTATTTGGGTGGGGATTATCTACAAAGATGTAAAAAAATAACATCTCGGTTTTAAAGCTTTTTACAAATAAAAACCTACTTGCAAAAAGTTGAATGGAAGGTCAGTCAGAAGAAAAACCAATTTTTAGTTTTCCAAAAGGCATAACACAGCCAAATTTGTATAAGATGTGATCTTAATGTAACTTTTTGGAAGCTAGCAAATTGCAAAAGTTACCACTGCACATCACCCTGAACAAACCATTTCCACTTTGAAGTATAGTGCTTGCAGCATCATGCTGTAGCAATTACTTTGCTTTTTTTAAGACACTGAAGATGGTTAGAGTTGCTTGCGAGATTAAAGGCAGTAAATACATGGCAATTCAGAAAGTAAAACTATTGGAGCATCTAAAAGACTTTAAACTGCAGCAAGTATCAACTTTCAGCAGGATAGGTCTCCTCAAACATGTCCACACTTACAAATGCATGATTATAGTCATGAGATATAGATCTGGTCAAATTTCAGATCTAAATTCAACATAGAAATTGTGGCTTGGCTTTGATGTTGACACTGCCCATCCAATATGACAGAGTTATTTAAGAAAGAGGAATTGGAAAATATGTTTGTCACAACACATATAAAGCTTGGAAAGACACATGACAAAACACTTTAGAGCTTTAATTACCGCAAAACCTGGCTTGACAACGTACTGAATCAGGAGGTGAACATTTGTATGTCCTGCATTTTTCAGATTTGCATTTGCAAAACATTTTCTAAACATATCTTTTTATTTCAGCTTTTCAATTTTATGATTATTAAGGGTTAGTCTAACACATAATATCCATTTAAAACACATTTAAGATTGATGTTGAGTCATGACAACCTGAAAAAGGTTATCACTGCACATAAATGCATTTGCAAAGTGTCATAATTTACATAAAGACATTCGTGTAGTTATTTTGTATAGTGTATGTTACAGCATATGTGTCAAAGGGACAAGGATCAAATCCGGGCCGTGGAAGATTTTACGTGGCCCTCCAGAGTCCAGGTTTTGACGATTTTGCAATGATGGAAATTCACACAAAATCAAGAAATCCTCAAATTTTTCACGCCAATACATAACTATGAAATTATTAAAAATCTTCAACAAAAAATCTGAAAAACAATTGCAACATCCTTTAGGGACTGATCAATGTGAAAAAGTGTTCAATATTGTTTAAATATCTGAAGTACTTATCGGATGCAGAGACAGCTGTTTATTAATATCGTTGCAGTTTGTTCATGGATTTTATTAATATATTCTGGCACAGCCAGCCCTTGAGAACATGCAAGATCTTGATTTGTTGCAAAATTAAAATGAGTTTGACCTTGCTCTGAGTGCAGTAATGTTTGCAGAAAACTGACATTAGTTCATTCAAAAAAAGTTTAGGATTTTTAATGTGATTATTAAAAGGAGCAGGTATGTGAATCTTGGATTTGAAAGGCTGAGTGCCTTTTTTACAGCCTGCTGCAATACCTGGACCAAACACAGTAAGAAAACCTTCCCCTTTTCAACAGTCTCACAGAAGGATAAAATGTTTTTATAGCTTGCCTTACACATATTACAACCCACCGAGGACCATTTTCAAGTGGGTGACATCAGTTTTGATTTTAACACAAAGAAGCTGATGTCATGCTTCATGATCTAATGGTTCTCATGCGATAGTAATGTCAAGCGGAAATGACAATCTGGCTCAAAAGTCCAATGTTTCTATGAAAAAAAAATCATTCTGTCAACACACCATGCATTTATTTTTTAACCCCAAATGGTACAACAAAAACATGTCAAATTTCACATTTCTCTTCTTTTTTCTAGCCTTGTAGCTCATGCAAAACCAGACACACACAAATCTATTGTAAAAAAACAGGAAGTTAGACCCTTTGAGGTGGGTCTTCTTCAAGGTCTAACAATAAATATACATAGTATAACATTCTACCCTAATCCAGCTGGCCAAATTAATGATGTAAGTCTCCTTGGAAATTACACTGCAGGTCATAAAAATCAACCTGAAATGGCCACAAAAACCACAAGAAGGACTCTGTCATTTTTTAATCTCTGCTTTTTCAAATACTAAGCCTCTTCTGAGCCTGTTCAATTATGTAGGAGAAGAACCTGTTCAGGAGCAGAGGTTATGTTCCACAGAGGCAAAAAGGTGAGGATGAATCATGAAGTTAGAGCTCCACTGCAAAAAGAGCTGTCCAAAGAAACAACAATTATCAACAGGGGTTATCCGACCCTGATTCTGTCTTTGGAGTTCAACTAGGTGTTAAAATCTAATGTTAACTAAACCACATTTTACTATTCACCTTTTATTAACCTTCTTAAGGGCTGATATTTAAAAAAAAGAAATTAATAAAATGTTTCTGAAAGAGGTGTGGGGGTTAGAATATTTTATAGCTTATTTTAGGAGAATCCAGCTATGTATTAAGTGCTATAATGTGAGGATTTTAAGAAATATAAAAGCAATATACAAATGGGGGCTTATAAATACATATTGCTACCAGGATGCCAATAATGAAAATATTTAATTTTATTACTGCCATATACCTAATAAAATACTCTCACTGTAAAACTATTTGTGCACTGTTTGGTGTTACGTAGAACAAAGCTTATCATTTGTTAGAACAGTTTTGTTCTCCAAGTCCATCAACATGAGCATTTGTTGAAATACGATACAGCAAAAATATGCTTCTAAATAAAAGCTGGTAAAGTGTAGTAATGTTTGAAGAAAACCGGCTGATAAAACTCAGGCTAAATAAAAATAAAAATAACTGCATGTTGATTTTCTATTATGTATCAAAATATTTATTTACAACACTTGCTTTAAAACTTGAAAATGGCTAATTACACAAGTGACTTGTTTGCAACCCTTTGTGCATGAAATAACGTAAGAGACATTACCTGCAATGTACAGAGATGGGCCCATCCTGTCCAAACTGCTCCTTGGTTTTATGAACTTGGCCAATAAAATCGATGAATCCCTCACCGGATTTGGGTACACCTTGTTCTGGCCAATCAGTAAACTGGAACTGCCTTACTGTCCTGGACTGGCCATCCTGGAAAATAAAATGAATATAAGGTGAAGAATAAGAATCAGCTTTATTTGGCAAGTTTTTCCATGCAAACAAGGAATTTGACGACAGTTCCACTTTGCTGTCATTGAAGACATTTAAAATAGAAACATAGGGCCAAGAAAAAGAAAAGTCGGCATTTAAAATAACTAAGAAAATAGGTCAGATAATTATTGCATAATTATTGCATGGGTAATAAAATTTCACCAGCAAGCAATTTAACCCCTGCTGATGTAATGAATAGTTTCTCATTTCACAAAGAACTAAGTTGAAAAACACAGTCATGGTTGTAGAAAAAGCGGTAATCTGTTTAAGAAGAGACAAACAGTTGTCCTTTCTTTGCATCGAGCAAAGAAAACATCTAAGCTTTGCAGAAACTACTAAAACTGTGTTAAGAACTGTTCAACACATTATTAAAAACAAAATGGAAAAGTGGGAAACCATTGTAACCGCTAGAGGAAGAAATGTGGTCGAAAAAAATCCTGAATGATCTTGATTGCCAATCACTTATGTGGTGGGTGAAAACAAATAGAAGAAAAACAACAGCAGAACTACGAGTTATGTTTAATTGTAAGAACATTTCCACATGCACAATGCAAGGGGAACTTGTTGTCTTTTGTGAAGTGCCGAAAGATGCCATTTGTTGTGAATTGGTACAATATAAATAAACTGAATTCAAGTAAACTCAAGGGATTGGGACTGAACATCTGCATAGCCATAAGAAAACTACTTATCAGCAAAGCTAACTGCTGAAAAAAAGCTTCAATTTGCAAGGGAGAATAAAAATGGACTCTGGAGTGATGGAAGAAGGTTGTGTCTCGATGACCCCAGATTTACCCTCTTCCAGAGAGATGGGCACATCAGAGTAAGATGAAGTGATGCCATTTTACACACAGATTGGCCACCACAAAGACTGGATCCAACCCCAAAGACAATGTCTAGAATGTGCAGGACGAGACTTTGCACACTGGTCTGCCTCTCCAATCATCAATATCAGATGTTGGTTAAAAAATAATGAAGACATGCATTGCAGGTAACCAGAACAACATCTGAGATTTGCACACACCCACATATATATAAAACACAACTGTGGAAACTATTTCCAAACTGATTCCAAACTGTTTCCAAGTGGATTCAGTTTGTTTTCTCCACATTTACCTCACATCAGATTGTACCCACTTCCCCCATGTTTCACAATGTATCTCTGCGTGTCAAAAGTAGGCCCAGCTAAACGAATCAATACTGTATCTGCCATGACAAGCAAGTTCTCAGAGACTTTGCTGTTGAATAGGATAATCCTGCGATGTGATCAATAAGGCAGCCTGATAGGTTTGCAGAAAGGAGGAGGTGAGAGGCAAGAAAAACTCAGGGATAAAGCTTGGACAACAACAACAAAAAAAAAACTAAACGAAAACTGTAAAAAAAATAACATTAACAGTTTTACAACAGGACACAGATGGAGCATTGTACGCAAACAAAAACATTTGAACACATTTTGAAATTGAGGCAGGATTGGGAGCGATCTAGGTTTTTTCGAGAGCTTGTTATACAGTGTGATAGAGCGGGCAGTCAATACTTTTGTCCTTGTGAAGCAAAGTTCTTTTCAAGTTGTCAAAGATAGAACAAATTAGTCAAGAAAGTCAGCAGAGACAAGCAGTTTTATACATACAGGCTCTCTGCTTGATGCCACCAGTAATTAAGACAACCAGGTGTTCTTTTCTCTTGTAGTTTCTCACCTCTCTGCACAACAGACTTCAAGGCAGACATGTTGTGGCATTTGCTATACAGTCCCACTACATATATTTACACAAAGTCAGCAAAATTGCAAAACAGGATGTTATTTTGTCTTCCAGATAACCTGCTTTTTATGAAATAAGATTGTTATTAAATAAATGAATAAATCAAAATTTGGCACCATCTGCAAAATGAATTTGGTATCAAAATCATAACAGAAGGACATTTCTTAACCACTTTAACAAACCAATTATAATTTTTCTTTCTATATTCCACTCATGGTCTACTGTAAGGAAATGTAGTTGTCTTCCTCCAAAACAACCCTTTCACATGTTGTGCTGTGGAGTGTTGGTCTTTCTTCATAGTTACTTGTTTATAGGTAGTGAAAAAAGCTGGTTGCTGAAATCATGTTTGTATAAACAAACATGATTGACTGACTGAAACAAACAATTCAATTCAAATATATGAGAGAATTTAAGTAATGTGATGTCTAAGGGTGAACTGACATGAAGCCAAAGTATATTCAACCTGGGTAGACTTAGCAAGATCTGTTTTTCACTGTAGTGTTTCAACAGATTGCAGAAGTTGTTCAAAAGCATGCAGTCTTATCAATAAAAATCAAAACAATTTAGTAGTTCTCCAAACTGAAATCACTATCCAGTACTGTACTTCAGTAGTGGATATTCATTATTACTACCTGAAAACCTAGACAGTCAAGAAAAAGTTCCAAAAAACTATTGTGCCAGGAAGGGGAAAAGCCAGTATTGTTAAAAGAAGAAGACAAGTATTTGGTTTACTTTTTCCATAAGCCATTGGTTCCCCTGTACTACAGATGGCGATGGTACGTGTGAAGCTACTGCATGTCAAAGGATATGCATAATTGCTGTCTTGAATCTGCCTTCTTATGCTGTTTGCTTCTGCACCGCTGTCACCAAGTTGCGCTCCCCTACCTTACCGCACTTGACAAACACGGTGATCATAATGAGTTAAGCTCCGTGTTCTGACTCTCTTTGTTTATTGTCTTGTGTTTCATTCCATGTTTTATGAGCCATCACATGTGTTTTTTTTTCTTACTGTGCCTTTGTTTTTCCCCTTAAAAACATTTTGTCTCAGCTAAGGGATTAACAATGAAAGGGGGGCCAAGACAATTGCACAATAATCCGAGCATGCTGGAAAAAATACAGAGGCTGAAAAAAAAAATTTAAAAAGAGGAAAAATTTAACACACAACCTGAGGGCCCACATGGCGTGTGAAATTGTGTGATTAAATACGTGACTGCCTCTCTAGATGCAAGTGTTGAGGCGTAGAGTCTATGCCATTACCGTATGAAGTCTATGCTCTTGCTGTGCAGAAGCATGTGGGAACACGTACAGGCACACATGCGAGACCAAAAACAAGCAAACCTCTGCTACGGTATGTGTGATTAAATGCAACCTAAAAAACACCTTCACATGTGCATGCATGCATAGTATCTTCACAAACATACCCTCACACACACAGCTTGGTTCACACTACTATCGTCTTCATCTCTTTGCTTTGTTTCCATAACAGCGATAAGCTTAGACTGTCTCCTGGCTACAGTTGAGCAGTGTGATAATTTTGCCTGCTGCAAGAAACCTCTGAAATGGAAACAGAGGCCAATCCTTAAGACAATTTGGTTATAAATTATGCTAAAGCAATTGCACGCATGTGAAATGTGTTTGTTTATAACACTCAAAATGGCGCAGGTATGAATTTATGGTGAAAACACCAAATTGCATTTGGATAGGAATGTGCTGACAAGGTCAGTCCTGTTAGGTGCATGCTTTTGTGAATGTGTGAGTACACATCTTGCTGTGTATGTTAAAACAGAGACTAAGCATAATTTTCCCACATACAATTTTTCTTTCAATGCCAAGATGCTTTTGATCATATGTATGACTCATTATCAATGTAAAGACTTTTTCTGCAACTATCTATCACATTACCTGCAAATTCACTGGATAAGTCACCGTGTTTTAGAAAAAAAAGAAAAAGAAGCTTTGCAACTTTTCTGCTGTCTGATCTAATTGGTGCAAAAATCATACTGAGCAGGTAGAACTTAAGTGATGTACAACAGGTTTAAACATGTCAAAAGAATTACTAAGTTGAATCCAGATCTCTCATCATTTTCTTAGACGCTGTGACATCTTGTTATTTTAGACAAATCTGACATCAAGTTTTGTTTTGTAATATTGCCTTTACAATGTCCTATGAAAGAATTCAATTGAAAATTACAAAGTATAAACAAAGTATAACTGATTAAAAACAAGGAGACAGACATTGAGATTTTTCCAGCACAATATATTTATCTTAAAACTGCTTGTACTGCAGCCAGGCTTTACTATCTCTATGTTGCACCAACCATCACACAACATGAAGGTGAAGTTGTTGTTTGATGTGGAAGTGTGATTTTGATTTTTTGCATTTGGACAAATTCAGTTGTTCAAAAAGGACTTAATTATTCTATGCTAAATGCAGCTTATTTAAAACAAACACTGCTATTTTTTTACCATTATGTAACTGCATTGAAGACATAGAAATTTAGTGCCAATAATCACAAGTCCCATTCAAAGTCAGAATTCAAAGTTATATCATGTCTACAAAACAGTTTCAAATAAAATAATAATAAAAAACCTTCGTAGCTTTGTTTTATTCATGAATATTCACATAAGCTCAATAGCACTCAACAGTGTTTTTGTTGACCAAACAGCCTCTTTTCAACAACTTTGGTTCAACTTAACTTGGAGACTGACATTTGGCTGTGTAGTGAAACAGTAAATAGAATAGATTTTCTTCCGCAAAATAATAGTATTAAAATAATGACTATTATCATCTTTTCAGCAATGTGAAATATCCGAAGTCTGTAAGAAGAAAAAAAGCAATATTTTCCTGAGCCATTTTCCTGTAACCAAGAAATCCCATCAAATACATCCTTCAGCAGTGTATTCTCACCCTGGCATCTGTGACCTTGAACTCCCGAAGGATGTACTGAGGCATGTTGTACTCCGCCATGGGATCTACCACGAAGTACTGATACCTGGCAGAGCGCTCTGCTGGCCAGTATTGGTGACACTTTTCCTGTAGGGACAAAAGTGTTTTTATTCAGTTGAGTTAAATTTTTTTTTTTTACCAAGTTTTTGCTTTATTTTAATCGCAAAATAATATAATGCTTACCCGGCCCATCTCTCTAAGTTTGGTCAACATGACTACTATAGTGGAGTTGTTCTCCCAGAGCATTCTCCAGAAGTCTTCTGTAGTCTCTGCTAGAGGGCCCTGCGTGGCGATGTATGCCCGCTGTTGCCTTTTTACAATAAATCCATGATGAAACCATTTACATTTACCTTGTCATGATCTTATCTCATCTGGTTGTTCCAGCTCTCTCACCTGTATCCATCAATGAAGCTAGCATTGATATAGTCAGACCCTTCCAGGCCTCTGATTGGCTGCAGACAGACGCGGGTGGTCTCATAGGGCATGATGTTGACCAGTCGGTTCTTGAACTTGTTGCAGGGAAGGTTGGCACTGATGAAACGTGATGTATGAGCCTTGGAGTTGGCCAAACGCTGGAGGAGGAAGATGTGGGGACAGTTTAATATTGTAAGGGAAAAATATCTTGCAAAGAGAGTGGTTAAAACCAACACACTCAAAAATGAAATTCTGACAGAACAAAAAATGGGTTGAAAAGAAAACGAGACAATGAAAGAAGGAAGAGGCCGTAGACATGCCAGTTAGAAAAAAAGGCAAAAAAAATGAGATACTAAGAAAGAGAAAAGAGGAGAATTGGGAAAAGATTAAATGTAAAAAAGGGGAGAGAAAAACAGGTGCCAGGTGGATAAAGAGCCTAAAATATCAAAGAAAGAACGTAATAAAGCAGAGCCAATCTTAATCGAGTCTTTCACCCATGCTTTAGTGACAATGGCCCAACTTCAAAGGGATATTATTTATTTAAAAAACTGAACGAAATTCAAAAACTTTGTCTCTATTTGCAACTTATAAGGTCCTGCTGGGTCAGATGCAAAGAGTGAAAATACGCCGCACATCCTGACTAACAAGCCTCCGCATCAAGTGTGTATAAAACAGAAAACTCCTCTAAAAGTGGGTCACTAGTGCCTTTGATAACACCAGCCTAGTATGTGTGCATAAAAGATGGGGATGTTCAGTAAAGAAACACACACACACACATCACAAAGTGATCAAAACAAAAAGTGGTGCTGCTGCATCAACAGAAGAACCCCAGAGGGACTTTGGGGGTCAGCAATTTCCTATAATCGCCCCCCACCCCCAATGCGCTTTGATATCTCCACAAAGAGCATTTGTGTCATGCCTGCTTGCTTGTTAGCCAGCAAACTGCATACAGCATTGTCAGTCAGCATAGAGATAGTTTTTAACAAAGAAAAGTATAGCATCGAAGATACAAGCAGCCCGAGGAGAACAAGTAAAACAGTACAGGCATGTTGCCTGTTCATGTAGACTGAAGCATTTGAGCTTCAGTGGGTGTTGGTCCTTTAAAGCAAACTGACAGGAAGTGGGCAAAGAGATGGGGGGGAAGGCATGCAGCAAAGGTCCCACGTTCGGGGACCCAGGATGTCTTCACCGAGGACCGTAGCCTTTGTCTGCTCTAGTATGAAACCACACAACACCCACAAATAAGCATTTCAAATACAATTTATTAGAGTTTTTGAAGACAAGCCAAAATATGTGAAAAACTGAATTGGCAAATCACTATCCTGAAATGAGGGGGATGTTTCATGTTTTTAAATGTGAGCATTGTTCTGTCTTCACGTTCACTTGCTTCTTTAGACTTTCTTTTGTCGTATAGCTTGAACTTTGTCCTGGATTTGTATTGCTCCCCTTTCTTGCCTCCACCTCTTTTTACATTTTTTATGAAATGTGTTTTTTACATAACCACCCAAAGGGACTCAAACTATATAGAGTTAGACCCATAAAAAATACAGACCATGCTCAGCAATACGACCCAGACCTAGGAGCCAGTAAACCAGAAAGAGCTGGTTATAGTTGCCAGCTCTTTTTTTCTATGAAGTTGGCCATGATAAGCTGAATATGTTCTGCTGGCATTATGGACGTTAAGCCATTTGTCCCAATATTTATTTACTCTTTCAGCTGTTTGTGTGAGTTGTTGCATTAACTATATGCTGATTTGCTGCCTTCTATGCAACAGCCATGTAGATTCAACCTCTCGCCACAAAAAGTAAAGCACAATCAAAGTTTAAATGGTTTGAGAAATGTAAGGGCTGTCATTTTTTTAATCCAGCCCCAAAACTTGACTCCTAAGACCCTGCTCCGACAATCAGTAGCTCAATTAAAAAACAGCCAAAGCATTCACAAAATTATAGCAATCGATGCACATGAATCCCATACCACTTTGCAAATGAACAAACATTTTTAACAGTTCATTTCCTGAGTTTGAAATGTAATTTTAAAAAATGTGCATTCACTTGCATTACAGAGGTCAAGAAGGGGTCTGCCTGACTTGAAAAACTTTCCAAGAGAAAACCAGTCATACTGCCAGAAAGGGAAATTAAACCTCTGGCTGAGAGCTAAAAGATGTTCCAAAATATTTAACAGACTGAGGTGCTGGAGGTGTGCAAAGAACAGTGTGCAGACGGCTGCATAAAAACAACCATCATGAGCACAAAACCCAATTGCAACCTTCAGAATCTCTTTCAGAAACATCTAAAAAGCCAGATACATTTATTAGAAATAAGTCTTTATTCTAACTATGGAAATGCATAATCCTGGAAAAAATATACTGTATAACTGTAAGAAGCAGAATCTGAATAAAACAGATGTATTTAGCAATGAGAACATGGAAAAATGTCATAATATAATAAATATTTTAATTATGAATTTATAATCATATAGAATTTATTAATTATTTCCCTCTTCATTGTGGGATGCTTTTTGTTTTTTGAGTTTTTCATGTAAATTTGCTAAAAATTACCAACATCATCATTGATGAAAATAAAAGAACCTTTTTCTTCGTGTTTGCATCCTGCTCCCAATTAAAACTCAGCTGTTGAACTGAAAATAATCTTTTCTGTTTAATTAGAGTGAATCTCAATAGCCTATTAGCTCTTTTTCTGTATGTTTTGAAACTTCTGTACTGAATTTTGCTGAATGCTTTCAGCAAGCAGATTATGTGCACAGAAAGCTTCATGCTCAGACTTATTAGTTATCCACATAACTAATACAGCAAAGTGATTGCCTGACAGCTCTCCCACCAAAAAATGACTTCTTTCAGAATTATTCTCTCTGCTCAAATTCTGTGAAGTCGTCCAGACTGAGCTAAACTCACAACCAAACTGCATCCAGTGTGAGAGCGAACATGGCTTTCTACAAATTCCTATAATGCACCAGCATTTGTAAGACAAGACCAACTTGGAAAAAAAAAAAAACTCTTTATAAAAATTCCCTGTGGAACACCTCAATTACTTCAGGCTTTTCTTGTTTTTAATGAAGATCAAATTCTTGTTTTACCTTTGGTAATGCAGATGTTATTACACATCTTAAACCTGTTTTGTTTCATCAAGTAACTGACAGCTGGAAATTCTGGCTCAAAGGTTTGGCTCCAGCCACTGGAGTCATCGTCTATTAAAACAAAGGTATTATGTATTTTACAGGAAATACTGGCTATATAAAAAGCATCTTCTAAGAAATGCTATGGCTGTGATGCCTTAAAATTGACCTCTGTATCGACCTCTGTACCCTTTCCGTCACTCCCCTTTCAGCATATCATCACAACAATGCGTCTCCATGCAGTCTATTGATGCAGCTCACAACCTGGATTAAGGTCTGCTGTTTTGGACAGTTGAATTAAAATAGAGAAACTACTCACATCTCTTTTACACCAAATGGAAGAGGCGTCATGCTAGAAGCAGGTTAATTTGATGATCATTAAACCAATTAGTACCTTGAATTCTAGCTCCATGCCGGTGACGTGTTCGCCACTTTCCACCTGGGCCAGCTTCTGGATATAGGAGTACAGGCTGCGAGCAGCCACCTCCGTGTTTCCGCAGGCCACCGCCTCCAGCAGCGCGTCGTGGATGAAGCTGTACTGGTCCTCTGTCTGCACCATGTAGTTGCGCTGCGAGCGCATCAGCGTCACATGACCATAGATATCGACCGTCTTCTCGTGCTTGATGCGCTCGAGCATTGCGTCGATTACTATAAAGCAGCCCGTCCTGCCGACGCCGGCACTAAAGTGGAAGGAAGAATATAAAGACAGATTAATATATTTTGAATCCATGATTTAATACTCTTGTTGAATTGTGGTGTTAAACATAATTCCAATACAAAGAGCTGTTGTAGTTAAAATAATCGAATTAGAGTAAAAAATAAAAATAAAATTCCTTTTATGTTGAAAGAGGGAATACAAAAAGTAAAAAGAAAAACCTAAATATAATACAACATGAGGAAAGTGATGGAGACTCAGCATGGCAAGCTGTCACATTTCAGATTTATTGTGCAGTGCTTTGGACTCGCTGAAGCCTTCTTATCTTGACAAAAAGGAAGGTTTCAATTTGAATAAGCCATTAGAGAAATATAGCTGATATAAGGAGGAAAAGCTAAGGAGTGAAAAGGGAGAGGTAGGAATAGCAGGGAAGGATTTCCGTGAGACGTTTGACAGAAAAAGGATATATAAAAACAGTTAGGGGAAAATAAGAGCATATAAAATGATGCAGCAGAGAAGAATGATGAAACAAATATCAGGAGAGCATAAAAAAATGGGAGTGTGAACTTGGATGAAGTCTGCTATGTAATGCACTATAAAATATGTATAGTACGGTGCTCTGCCAATCTGTTTGATGGGTGTATATGAAAGTCATAAAAATTAATTAAATGAAAAAGAAAAGGTAGAAGAGAGGCACACTATTCAGCAAGTGCAAAGGCTACTTTACAGTCCATCTCATTTTAGGATTCCTGTTCAAATTAAAATAATTTGCATTGCAGATCATATTCTAATACTAGAAAATGATTAATGACCTGCAGTGAGCAATGATGGGTCCAGCATCAGGTGGGTTGCATGTCTTCACCCTACGAAGGAAGGCTAGGAAGGGGGTTGGGTACTCCGGCACGCCGTGGTCAGGCCACGCTGTAAACTGGAACTGACGAACTTCCCGTTTCTCACTGGAGCCATTCTGCAAACAACAAAAGCAACCAGCAGAGGTTAATATTTTTAATATTCTTGTTAATAATTTCTAACTGTGTTAAATAAGAAAATATTTTGTGCTGGATCTCATTGTTCTCTTCAATGAGATCCAGGTCACTTCTAACGTGACATCCTTAATCATCACTTTCCACAATAGTGATCATAAAATATGGAGGAAAAAAAAAAAGAGGACTCAGTCCTGATGCAGGAAAACACAGTTTTACAACCTTCATGCTAATACACACACATGGTACAAAACCAGAACACATAATAGGAGACACATCATTTTTCAAAAACTTGACTGATTTATTTTTCACAAAATGTGCTCAATTTTTTCCTGCTTACAAAAATTAACGGTGAGAGTTTAAATAAGCCAAAACATCACACTGTAAGAAACTGTGACGCTAACAAAAAAGAAATGTCCCGACTTGCACTCTAGCTGTTATTCTGACTTGGTTAACATAAACCATAAGCTTCCAATTTAGTGATTTCCTTTGCTGATTTTCATAAACTTTATTAAACCTCAGGTATTAGTCTGCACAGATCTCGCCAGACTATAAATGAACATGCAGCCAACATTTGTTTTCTATTTTGTATTTTTACACACTTATCTGTCAGCTTGCATCCTAAAATCAACTCTTAAAGCACACACTCAAAATTACTAAACAGGACCTGGAGAAAGGGTGTTTTTTTTGCTAGGAGACTGACAAAAAGAATGAAAAATTAAATATGCTTTAGATCTCCTCTCTCTTTACTCACATAAGATCCTCTAATAGAGGGACTGTTTGCTTTTCACTGCAGCGCTTCTAGTTTTCCTGACAGAGGGAAATTTTACTTGCTGAATAAATGAATAAATGAGTGTGGTAATTAAAGGCAAACTGACCCAGTTCCTTTACCCCTTATTTTTTCCTCTATTTCATGATGCGTTGCAGTTGAGGTCGGCAACATGAACGTGACTCGTTTCTGGTTTCCTGGTTTTTCTTTAAAATTACATTTCTTTTCCAAAGGATTTGTCAGCAGACACAATTCTGTGTCACTGTAGGACACATTTATACAGATATCCAGGAGCTGGCTCTGTGTGTGCATGGTTGCCTGCCTCTGCTACCTTATATATCACAAAAAAAAATCCACCAAAGTGGGAACTGCTGAGTGAGATATCACAGCGACGGCTCAATATTGCAGTAAAGGAGAGGACAGATAGGAAAAGGAGTGTACCAGTGGGTTTGATAGCAGCTCAGAGAAGCAGAATTTAAATGGATTTAAAGCTGGCTGCTTGAACTCTAAGGCTACTGATGTTTTGCTATCTGTGCAGTCCCCTGTCGTTCATTGTTGCCCTTGCGATATGGCCTAAAAGGTCAGTTTGATGTCATGTGGCAAGAGAAAAATTCAGTAATGTTCTAATCTGACTGCAACAATCTTGGCCTTTCCAGTTTCACTTTAAGCCACCTTGTAATCATAAGTCTTTTTAATGGTTATTTCTTCTCTATTTTTATGTGTGTTAAAGTGAATGTTGTTGTGAGTGCCTATGTCTGTGCAAGGGATCAAATTTCAGCTGTGTACAACTGTGTGCGAGTGTGTGAGGGACATCATGCGTGTTTGAGCTTGTGTGCGAGTGTAAGAGAGGGTCTTTGTGCACACACAGAGAAGCATGAGAGCTGTCTGCCAATTATGTATATTGAGTTTCTCTCCTGCTCACTTTACCTAAGTGCTCCAATTTGGCAGATGCACATAAACAGATGATCTATTGAGGAGAGATGGAGCTAAACAAGGTAAAAGGGGTGGATTGGGAAGACAGCGTTTTCTAAAAGAATATTGGCACTGAACAGAAAACAGCCCAGGGTTTATCGGCCTTATTGAGGTTCTCTGTATAAATTTTGCATCTTTGTTTTTATTCATGCTGTGCCCAAAGACCTCCATTCACTATTCAGACTTTGAATTTTATGGATTTCATTCACCTCATTCTTTGTGATAAGGTATATAATTTATTTTTTATTTTTTTTGCATCATCAATGCAGAATATAACGTACTTCATATATTTATTTATTTATTTATTAACCTTTTTTCAGCTAAACATATGAAGTAGCAAACCCAATGGCTATTTTTATATTGCTAAATACAAATCTGCAGCTATGTCAATAAAATGTTACTGATTTTATAAACATTTTTAATTTGAAATCAAAAATGGAAAATTCTATGTTCATCACACTCAAACATTTAGTTTTGGAAATTTTGATGATTATGACTTACGGCTATTACTTATGATCAACAATAAAATTTTTGCATGTATGTAAAACAACTTGAGGTGGACTGCTAACTTTAACAGCTGTCATGGTGCACTCCAGGAAGCCACAAATGGTTGTTGCCTAAAGAAGCTCGTTTTGCACGAAATGCTGCATCAGAGGAAATTCATGGAAAGTTAAGTGGAATGAAAAAAGTGTAGTGGAAAAGGGTGCACAATAGGTTAACCTTTGAGAGATTTGTGAAACCTATTCAAGACGCTGGAGGATATTCACAAGGTCTTAACTACGACTCAGTCAGTGTTTCTATTGCCAGCACACTCCAGTTGAATCTCTTGCATGAAGCCTCTAACAAAACCACAGGCAATAGAAAAGGTATTGAGATGTTGCTGAATGGTCAGTCTGTTTTTAAGACGAGAGTTTTGGAAATCAAGTCTGATGAAAGAGGCATAGAACACAAGTTGTTTGACAGCCACTGTGAAAAAATGGTTAAGAGACCCATGTGATCTATGGTTGGTGGTTCATATATATATATATATATATATATATATATATATATATATATATATATATATATATATATATATATATATATATATATAAAGTCCAACATAAACTTCTCTTTTAAAATTGAATGATTGAAATAGGTGAACTCTTCAATGATGCTGCAGTGTACCAGAAGAAGAAAGTGGCATCTCCAGGTAGGTACTATATTGATGCTTTAGGGAAAACTCCTCAGAAAAATTCACAATATCTAAAGCATCTAAAGCTGTAAATAAAACTAAGAATAAAAGGAGCAATTGTCACTACTAAAACTAGCACTGCTAGTTAATGTCAATATGAGACAGAAATAGCTGTCAAAACTAAGATATGTGCAAAGTTTCTTCAGCCCAGGGTCCTGCACAGTATCTGTTTGAAAAGAGATATCCTCTTACCTTGTGGAGGGAGAACGTGCGGACACAGAAAGTAGCCAGCTCTATTGTATCCAACAGGGTTACTTGGGTCATGCCATAGGTTTCCGTACCACGACTTGGCCAGTACTGGTCACACTTAATCTGAGAGAAAGAGAAGTGAGAAAAAAAAAACAAAGGTTGATGGACAGATAGAGGTGTCTGCTGCAGTATGTGCAATTCTGTATATATAAAAGTTCATCTTGGGTTGACATCACAGACAAAAATGAGGCAGTGGGAGAGAAAATATAAATTCACTCAAACATAATATGCCAGTGCAGCACTCATAAAGCAAGGCCTCCTGTGGATCAAAAACACCAGGGAGCAGTGACAAACACCAGGGAAGCCATCTAATGCACTTCTGAAAAAAGGCGCTAATGTACATGGAAACGAATATGACAATCATAACAGCTCATCTATTCCCAAATCCAAAAAGCATTTAAAATACTAGCGTCTCACCTAAAGCTTGGTAAGCGTGAGGTCTGTTGGAATAGATCCTACTCAGATTTCTTATGATGGAAATCATTAGTTGTATTTTCTTGCCCAGTGGGAGTAGCATATATTTGAAACCACTACTGCAGATCCCCACCGACCATCAGGCCACCTAATAAAGATTCATCCAGTTAAGGGGCGCGATGCGTCTGCAAACGTCTGATGAAATGTGACAGCTAGTGAAGGAGATGTGCTGCTCCCCAGCTTTCGCTCCCATTTCCTGCTGGAGCTGACACTCAAGTTCCACTGCCCGCTAATCCTGATCACGTTTGACAGAAGAGGAATGCGCATGTCAGGACGGTGGCTAGGTAAACAATTGAAAAGGGGATGGAGGGAAAGGAGAATGAGCGGAGACACCTGGGGTGAGTGAGTTTGATGTTGACACAGGTTTGAGTTGACAGGATGAAACATTGCAGTTGGCTTTTTGACATTTAGCCCAAATCTTCGTAGAGTAGGATATTATCACTGTCGATTCAGTAGCAGAACAAGTATTCAAGACTCTTTTTTTTTTTTTTTAAGGGAAAAGTAACAATCCAACATGAGGAAAATACTTCATTACACAGAGAAGTCTTGCATCAAAAATCATGAGTGAAAGGACAGAGGGGTCAGCAGCAAAATGTACTCATTAAAATGTACTTGTCAGGGAACTGGAAGATATGACATTATTATGCATTACATTGGTAGAATATTATTACTTATGCCTGGATTTGTTGGGAGACTTTAAAGCTTATTTTTGTTCCAAAGCTGAATAGGTGTGTATGCATGTTGCTATTTTAATGCATGATCATAGATCTACATTTTTTTCATCTTTTAAGTAATGCGAAATCTTTTACATAACTGCACTGGCTCAAACAAAAATGACTAAAAAAAAAACCTTACTATCATACATCTAATACATGCCAAGTAACTCTCTCTGGTAACTTTTCCGCCAACTTCCACCATTAACAGATGGTGGTGGGAGGTTCCGGTCCCACATTTTGCAAAAGACGCTAGAACGCTGTGTTGCTTAAAATGAAATTTCAACTTCCCGCACTACTCAGTAATAGTGCAACGACTTGCGTCGATATAACCATGATAACTAACATTAACTAACATGTGCAATACTGACTGCAAATAAAATTAATCTTTGAGTAATTTCCTAACATGACTTGGAATTTTCCTTGTCAACTAAATTGACTTAAACTAAAATGTAAAGTTCAGTATTAGCCAGATAATACTAAAGAAACAAATATCTTCCACAGTAGAATGGCAGGTTCCCCTGTCTTCTAAATGTCTTTCCCATTTAAAAGACTGGCTAAGAAAAATGTGTCTTTGTCATGCCATATTTAAACACAGGAATCATAAATTTGTGGATGAAATTCAAAGTCTAAATAGCTTAGAAATGTGGACTGTTAAAAAGTTGCATTTATTTTACAGAAATTATTATTGGTGCTTTAGTAATTTCCAAGTGTTTTCCACTGAACAGAAAAAAAAAGTTTAAGTCTTCACATTGTTCGTGGTTGTGGAGGCTGCTGGATAATAATAACCATGTTCTTTTTAAAGCCATTCTCTTGAGACTTTGGCCAGACCAGAGAATGAGAGAGCAGCAGGTAAAAACTAAGCTGAACCGATTTACCCGTGACTTCTCTTCCAGCCGGGTCATCATCACAACAGTTGCTGTTCTCTGTTCCCACACCATCCTCCAGAAGTCCCCAAATGTTTCTGGTAACGGACCTTGGGTGGCGATGTAAGCATTCTGCTTCCTGTAGCCATCAATGTAGTTGGCATTGATGTAGTCACTACCTGTTATGCCTAGATGGAAAAAGAGAAGGCAAAGACAGATAAAAAAACAGAAAGTGGTGCCTAATTTCCAAGCTCAATTTATTAGCCTTGCTTTGCTCCTTATTAGCATCGCTTGTTTTGTGTCATCTGCCACAACAGCTCCCAGTTTTCACATTCAGTGACAGCTGCCAAGCCAATTAAACCACATGTGTGAAAGTGAGAAATAATTGACTTGAAGAAGGAAAAACAACCAAAATAGGGTTGGTGTTTTTTTAAATGAATGTAATAAAATATGTAGAGCCAGTTTCACAACCTCTTGAACCACAAGATGTGCAAAAAACAAAACAAAACAACTGTTTTTCCGTTTTTGAAACCAAAAACCCTCAAACAATCATTAACAGACACATACATTCTTTTTTCATTGTTTATTTCTCTATGACTGTAGCACCTGTGGATTTAATTAGAAACCTCAGATTTGATGCTCAGGAATAAGACATGATCTGAGCTGTAACACCTCGTCACTAATCAATGTAGACATAAGAGAACCCCTTCTGCATTGCTTCTGGAGAAGATGAGTAATGTTTTAGTAAGTATGACAGTCTGCACATGGTCCTGTCGTGTTTAGTAAAAATCCTGTATGTAAAGATTGTGTCTCATTAAGCTGAAGGTGTTATCCCAAGCCTGTTTGAGGGATCACAAAAGAATTGTTTATTTAACTTGTAAAATGTTTGAAGCAAGACAAAATAAAGTGGTGCGACTTAGTCTAACAGTGACAATGATAAGACCTAACAACATCAATATTTATTCAGCTAACTTCCGCATCGCTTCGGTTTGCTATGAAACTCTGGCGAGACGGCATCTGTGTCAGAGAGATGCGTCTCTCTGGCTGATGTCTTTGCTCTCAAGCAGCAAACAATAAAACACTCGACTGGGCTAATATAAGAGATGAGACGTGCTGAGGACAAGAACCAGAGGGAGAATGAGTAAAATCTTAAAAAAAAGAAAAACTGATAAAAGTCAACGAGATGGAGGAGAAGGAAAATGTTAGGAAGGCAAAAAAGAAAGAAAGAAAGACAGAAAGAAAGAGAAATGCAATTAAAAAGGGTACCACGTTGTAAAATTTGACTGTGCAGCCTTGGCTTTAGTCATAGCTAAGCGAACAGAGAATGGTGGCTTGCATGGATTGTTCTGCTGTGACTAATAGCAAAATCACTGCAGTGTAAAATAGAAATTTCAGACTTGATTAATTTATGTATTTATGGATGAGGCATTCTTCTTCTCTCGGTTAATTTTGCTATTCATGCTGTTGCACTGTCAAATTGGCCTGACGACTCCATGATATTGAAATCAAGTCCAAGCAGCTAGCTCAGATGAAAGAAAGAAAGAAAGAAAAAAAAGAACTCTGAAGTTTGGCTTTCCTGTGAACAATTCAGCAGTCCCCTGGTGATGCAGAGCCAGAACAACGTCAGCAGTGAAGGGTTAGTACCTCTGACAATGTCCCTTAAGATTTAGGAGTCAGAGGGAGAGATTCTCTGGCTCTCAGAATGGAAGAACTCAGTGTCTATGACCAGTTAGAGGGACGCCATGAGCAGTGGGTTGATCTGATGAGACAAATGGGATGTTGCAAACACTGGTTTAAGTCCGGGTTCCCTTTGAGAGTGAGAAGTGAGGACAGGCCGAAGTGATGAGCTGAAACAAGTCTTTGTAATTTGCTTACATAAACTGCTTAGCTCCAATAAAGCAAGTCGAAATAAACCAAATCCTCAGTTTACAGTGTGGTTCCAACCACGCTCTTAATAATTCAAAACAACACTTGTAAAATAAATCTAATTTTTGTTGTCCTTACGCAGGCTAAAACTATACTTGATAGTCTTTACTTCTTTATTAGACAGAGAAAGTCATCTTTGTCTCATCTAGTTTTATACACAACACTGAATGTGCCTCTACAGTGCCCTGCTGCACTGTTCAAACCCTCTTTTCAAATTACAGTCACAAACTTCAAAGGATTTTATTCTGAGTTTATGTAATGGAATGACATAAAATAGCGCATAAATTTTGAAAGGCTCTAGCAGCTTTGTAAAACGATAAACTGACATTTTTCCTGTTTTTCTTTAAAATATAGCTTAAGCTCAGTCAGATGGATGGAGAATATATGAACATAACTTTTCTCAATTGGGAATAAGCCTGGGCTATAACTGGGCCGTTTTAACACAAACATGGCTTTTAATGCGAGCCATGTGAGTAAAGCTCTAGCTGTATGTACATCTGTTGTCCTGCTGGAAGGTGGACCTCCACACCATTAAAGTCTTTCGCAGTTCAAGACGTTTGCTTCCAGGACTGCTATGCTTTCCAGTCCCATTTATCCTCCATTAACTCTTGACATGATTCCATGTCCATGCTGAAGGAAAGGATCACCACAGCACAATACTGCCACCACCATATGCCACCAGTATTTACATTTTTCTCCTCCATAGCTGTCATAACCTATCGCTGCCTCTCTGGTTCATGTTGTCCTTACCTGATTTGTCTGTTTATGGGGATAGCTGTATTTTGGTAGTTACTTTCCATTTTAGGATGCTGCTTCATGAAATCATTCCACTGAATGTTATTTAGGGGGATATAAATGCCATAAAATGTCATCTAATTTTAGACCCGGGTTAATTTTTTTTTTTTTTAAATAAAACAAAATCTGTGATATAAAAAAATGTGAAAAAGATAAATCTACAGTGCCTTGTACCTATTCCAGTGGTTCTCAAAATGTGGGCATGCCCCCAAGCGGAGGTGCAGTGCCATTGCAGGGGGGCAATGTTCAAAAAAAAAGAAAAACAACTCTCAGGGAGCTGTTCATGTTTTAACCCCATTTTGCACAGTCTTTTTTTTATGTATTGATCATAGAGAAATTGAATAGTGTTACATCTAAAAAAAAAAAATATGTTAATAACTCTGACAGCAAAGAATACTCTTCTCCAGTATAGAATAACAAAAGTGTTTCATTGTAAAGATGGTTTGAAGTTTGTTTTGTCGCAACCTGAAGTGTGAAATAAACTTCAGTTTAAAAACAAAATATGTATATAGGTTTATGTCTGGTTAAAAGATGTGTGTGCCATTCGTTTTGGGCTTGCTGAATAAAGAAAATCTGCTCTATTCAATATAGCAGTAGGTCTTTGTGTCATCTAATTTTAGACCCAAACCTTAATCTGCCTGTAGATGTGCTATTCTCAGAAGTGGTGAGTGCAGGGAGAGCTGGCGAGTCATACCTTCGATGGGAGCCAAGATGACTCGGGAGTGGTCATAGGCGATGACGTTGGCATAACGATTTTTAGGCTTGTTCACCTCCAGGTTGGAGTGCTCCCAGGTGAACTGCTGGCCTGGATCAATAGACTGATAGGAGGCAGAGATAGCAGAAACATGCACAAATAAAGAAGTAATCAGAGCAGCCGTGAGATGAGTCGAGCTACAACAATAGAGCTTTGGTGGTGCAAAGACGAAAGAGACACTGAGGAGGCGATTTCATTTAAAGAAAAACATCCTGCAATGTTGAACATCTGCTTTCTGACTGCTTGAAATACAGCAGCTGCCAAAGTAGCAGGTGCACAGTGACAAATAACTGTATTGATCAAGGTAGCATCTCTTCCGCTACGATGGAGGGAACAAGACTGGACTGAGTACCTCTTTGAAATACAAGAATTCACAATAAATCTTTCTGTGGCTTTTCAGGAAAATTAAGCATCTCATTACATCTGGTTTGTATGGTATCAAGTAAATGTTTGGTGTAGAGATTCAGGGTTAAATTATAATTTCAACAGGGCCTGGAGGGAAAGAATGAGGCCAAATTGCATATAATTATCATAGTGACAAGATTCTTCTGTTTGAGCCACAGCTTGTATTTATGCCTGGTTTCTGCCCCATATATTCTCTCCAGACAACTTCCTTATCCTGACCTCCTAATTAGGAGTGTAGCAATGTAACAATGTTTCTAGGCAAAATGAAGTTTGTCTGAGTCCTACTGCTGCCAGCATGTGACTTTGTCTGGCAAAGTGCACTATTGCGAGAGTGCTTTAGAGTCTTATTTTATAATAAGAAAGGTGGTACTTATTGAGATGTGTGCCACATTGCGAGCACTTGGTAGAAGAAAGAAATAGTGACAAATAAGATTCAACTATTAGCCACTAATGACATTGAATCTGGCATCTGATTCATAGCGTCCTTTCGGCACTGTAATAGGCTTCAATAATGACTGAAGCCTATGATCAATTACAATACTAATTGTACTGTTCCTCACATTGGAAACATTTTCAGGAGGCTGACATTTCTATATTAATCAGTTTTTTAATGGGTCTTCTGTAACGTCCAAATTATCAAAAAAAACTGAAATTTTGGGTTGTCAGTAGCTGTAGGCCATTATTATAAAATTAAGGTTAACACAAGATTATAATGACAAATATATACTAGTGATATATATCTTTCTGTGTGATATAAATCTATAACTTTGTATATTACTGAAATAAATAAACTTTTTATGAAATTCGAATTTATTGAGATTAACTTATAATCTACATTACATTCATCTACACTTATAACAAGTTCTTAAAAATAAAATTTTGTGAGGCTTTTACTTCATTCAAAAAGATATTTTTAGATTTCCAAATAATCTTGCCAAGTTTCATTCTAAGGAATGCAATATTGCATATTATCTTATTCTAAGATCTGAATGTACCATGAATGTCTTTACCAAAGTAGTACATTTTATTAAAGACTCTTTATGACCTTCATTTTTCTCCTCATGCTCTCCCAGAAATGCAGATATCTCTTCTGTCAATGCTATTGCTTTACTATTTACTTTTATTTCTGCGATGTGTCTATCCTTTGTAAAATATTTTCCAATTACACACATTTTGCCTGAAAACTGTGAGCATATCTATGCTTTATGTTTCTATTAAATGGTCACATAAAGGAAACAAATAACGTAAATGTCCAAAAACGGTAGGAAATAAAATCCAATTTACCCAGTAAAACTATAATTTCCCTGTCTCTTTCCTAATCTATGATATAGTGCCTATCAGTGGATGGTAGCCCCTGCTGAGAAGAGAAGCCTTGCATTGCATAGCGTATCCTTAGGATCTGCAGGTGAAAGCGTTGTTGTCTTTTCATCGCTGCTCCTGCATCCGATTATCTCCTCCTTATCTCCATTCCCCTGCTGTGATGCCTTGCTCTGCCTCCTCTCAGTGAATCTTCATCATTAACCAAACCTTTCCACCTCATCTCTCTCTCTCTCTCTTGACACTCCACTCTCCCTCCTCTCTTACATACAGCCTGGCTAAAACCCAATCAGTCAAAGCCCCTACAGAGCTGCGCTTGGCAAGCCAGGGCGCAGGAAAGAACGGCCATTCATCAAGAAAATAACGAAATTAAAATTACACTTCTCTATTTAATTTGGCCATTTATTTTTCCTGGGGGTGCAGTTGTTTGAGGATGGGCGGGCAGACAGTGAGAGAGGGGAAAAAGGACAGAGATGAGCCACTGTCTGGAGGCTCTTTCTCAAAACTGAGTAATTAGAACTTGTAGGCCTGGCACTATTTCTCTCGTTTTTCCCCCGCTCCCCAGCAGAAGGCACAAACTCATCCCATTTGGTATACAGTAGAAATGCCGGGCTCTTGAATAATAGATACCCAAGAAATGCTGGACTGCTATGAGAAGTCATTATCCACCAACATCCACCAGCAGGCAAGATGACGACAATCTATGCCTCTGTACTGGCTTTATACTTTAAGCTGGCGGGCAATGAGGCGTCAGGCTCTGTGATTTAGGAATCGTGAGTAGAGAATATTGCTTGTATGCAAACGAGAGCTGATTCAGCGCTCCTGATTTCTAATCAACTTTGGTGTCATTTATAACCGCAGCCGACTCACAGCTCAGACAGCTCAGTTATACACCGTGCACACACTCTACACACAGACACAGGCTCTTAAACACACACCAACCTGGCTGTCAGTGCAGAGCTCTGGGTAGAAGAATAGACTATATCTCTATTGTAGAGGAAGGAAAATCTTTAGTCTAAGTTCATTGGCGTGTGTAAATAATGCCAATATTTCTTTTGTGCATGAAGAAATATCTATTTTTCCATTTCCGTAATGTATTCCAGTAGAGATAATGACTCTTTTCAGCAAAGAATTTGAAGAAATTGGGTTTGGCAGTTTAGGAATTACATCAACAAACTACAGCAAATTTTACATAATTGATCTCGATAATTATCCTGCTTTACGACAAAACAGAAGCGAGTCTTTTGTCCTGTTCCAGTGAAAACACAATAAGGCAGACATCGATACTCTATGACCTTTAAACCCAGGCCAGCTCACCTCGTATTCCTGGGAGAGTTTGAGGTTGTCATTAGCTTTGAGAAGTTCGGTGTGCTCAGCCAGCTCCGAGATAGGGATCGGAGGATGATTCATCATACCTGTTCGCCAAGGAAATTGACAGGAATTCCATGCGGGAGAGGAAAAGGAAAAAATGTTCATTAGTATAGCAAAGGGGCCAAAGGTTCAAAAGCTTGAAATGACATGTTTTCACAGGTGCAGATTTATTGGTTGTGCAACAATGAGGGCTAGGTTTTTAGTGATGGGGAAACTTGAGCTGAAGTAAACACAGTAACACACTAATAAACAAAAAAAAATTGTGATGTAAGAGTTACCAGGCCAGAGCTCAAAGTTAGTCGTTTTTCAATCTGGGTTGAAACTTTTTTTTGATTGAAAGGATCTAGCAACATTAACCTGTAAAGCAAATGTATTTTTTTCTCATTATTCAAAATGCTGCTGGAAAAACAAGCACAATGGCCTCAACAATCAAAGGCATTGTCAATTTAAATTGACTTCAATCCCACAAGAATAAAAGTGCAACATATTTTTGGAAAAATCGAAATCAAAAGACATTATAATAATTTTTCATTCTCTCAATCAATGTTAAGAAATCATTTGTACTGCAAAGTAAAGATAAAAAAGAACACATTTCATTATAGCTGCTTCTAACAAGAAAACTGCATAATTTAAACAATGAAACCACTCAGGAAAGACCAATGTTTTTTTTTTTTTCTTCAGAATCCACCAAAAAATATTTGGAGTAAGATAAAAGACTACTATAATGGGCCCTTTTGTGCACTTCCCTCTATCTCTGCACTGTGATAGAGGGAAGCTTACTGGTGGTCTTTATTCTAAGTATTATTATGTTTGGTTATATAACAAGTTAAAAGTTGATATAGATAAATCAACCTTTATGTGGTTTATGTGGGAGATGTTTAAATGAATAGAGCAAAAGATTTTTAAAATCAAAATAAACCTGTTCTGCATTTATTTCCAGATCATCCATCTTGCCAATTTCACTGTCGTGCAAAGAGAAAGTCCAAATCTAAATTTAGTTTACTGAAGGCATCCAAGAATTTCAATGCGGTTTTATAGATTTATTTTTGGATGTTTCATGCTTGAAAATTTGTCTTCACTTAGATATAAACTTTTGGATGTATTTAAAGTACACTGGGGGAAAAAATCCATTAAAAGTAAAATTTGAAATAAATTTGGATTATTTTGATTACTTTTGAAAAATCCACTACCTATCTTTTTCTCTCAATGTCTGTCTTTGGTTGATTGTTTTGTATATTTGAAAAAGAGGTTGTACTAAAGTAAATAAAAACAAAATCACATATTTTCCTGTGTTTTGTTCTTTAATCTTGATTCTCATAGCAAACAGAAATTTCACAAATGTAAAATCTAATACCTCAATTCCTTACGTCTAAAAACTGTTTCAATAAATAATCTTTTCAAATCTGATTTTACCTAACATACCCTCTGTCATTAATTCAAAATGCCACTGAATCGCTTTGTGGTTAGTCATATCTTTTAAATGCTTAATTCAACACTGTCTGAATGGAAAACTACAAAAATTTAACTCAAGCCCTGACCTGGAGGTTTGGGGGGGGGGTTATGATGGAGGAGGTGAACGAGGGATCAGGGAGTTTATGAGTGTGAGTGAAGCTGAGTGACACAGTGAGCTGCTCCATTGTAGTCTGCAGTAGAATTAGAAAAAAAAAAGAAGAAGAAAAAAGTGTCTTCATTCATCTGCTAGTTCTCTCAAACCAATGAGTTCAAGTGCCAAGATAAATATGCCGACCTTAAAGTAAAACATTCTAATGTTTCCATCTGCACTTTCTATAAATCCTAACATGGGTACAACCCTTTCACTTGCATAAAGAAATTTAGATTTTTGTTATTTTACCTTTTTTTTTTCTTTTTTAAAATATTGCTCAGCAGTCCTCAGCACAGTCATGCAATGAAACACTGAACTACCGTAAATTGTAATAGTGTCGTCGTATGTGGCCTGGCAAGACTTACGTTAGTTAGCACTTTTGTATTTCTAATAAGAGGCCTCTTAGTCTGCTGAGCATTGAGGTCAAAAGCCAACATCATCTTGAAATCTCCATTCAGAAAAGTTAGTCAGGGTTAATTGGGCATGTAAATTGGAATAATCACATTAAGCACCCTTAATTTTCCCTTTCAAACAGTTCTCCAATGTCACAAGGGTCGCTCATGTTTTGGTTGCTTTTGTTGTACTTAAGAGGGGGCTCAACGCTCTTCACTGACAGTTTTCATTAGTAACGGTACTTTCATTTACATTGAGAGAACAATGAGGCACTAAATTACATGTGGATTACTACGCAAGACAAATGGAGATGACACTCAAATGAATGTAGTCGCATCCTACAAAAATTAATAGCGTTCTACAAAAGAACCAGAACACACAGAAAGAGACGATGAAATAAGTGAGTAACTGTTTGTATTGAATATTTTTCTGACTCATTAGGAATTTCTGTTTCATTGCAATATCCTGATCACAAAAAAGGTGGGACAAGGAAACTTTTCAAAGTTTTACACCATTTTCTTGACACAAGCAAATTCTGCTGAAGGGCTGAGAAGGCCTTTTGTGGCAAAGCAAATTGAAATATGCATCAGGAGTATGTGCAAAAAACTGCTAATTAAATTCCCTGCATTTTAGTTAGCTTCAAATATAGTGACATAAGGTAAACTACCAGAGAAATAAGTAAATGTAAATGAGGAATCCCTACTTCTCCATGAGAAGAGAGAGATCAAAGAGTGTTGGTGTTGAAGTTGTGCATGTGTGGTTCTGTTTACAAAAGTTCCAGATGTAATTAAAGTTCAGTTTTTCTCTGTTTACTGCTCAAATTAAAGTCTGCAGATATGTTACTCCAATGCTAGGAGACATCCATTGTGTTTACTACACACTGTCCATGGGTTTTGTCTTGTTCTTGAGAAAACTGGTTTTTGCCTTTCGACACATAGACAGGCACACACACACACGCACGCGCACGCACGGACACAAACACACACACACACACTGTAAAACAGTTAAATTAAGCTTTTCTTCTAAATAGCAAATGAGATGCACATAAAAAACAGCCAGGGGTCAGAATCATACAACAATATTCTTTTGATGAGATCTGATTGTTGATTGACAGATCAAATCTTTGTTGTTCTTTCATAGGCATTAAGTGTATCAAAACCCACCATTTTCTCTAAACACACCTACTAACATCATGATTTGATGTTTTGATAGTTTGTTGTGAATTGAGTAGAAATCTAAGAAGGTTTGGAAACTTGAATAAAGAGAGCTACTCTTTTAACCCTTTTTCTTAATTTCCTCTGTCAAAGAGCCTGCAGCACCTTTTTCTTTTGTGAGTTATACTCCTTAAAAATAAAGAAAAAAAGTTAGAATTTGGATTATCAAAATAAAAAAGATACAGAAAAGAAATCTGCATTAGCTAGAAAAATTCTTATTAATCTTCCATTTTCCTAGGTAAATTGTTATTGTAGCACGTAACCAAAGATAAGTGACCACGTCACTTTACTCATTTAATTCAAACTTGATTGTACAAAGTATTACAGTAGACAAACTTGATAATGACTAAAATATTATCTTCCCACCCTAGTTCATATCCCTCATTCAAACAAGCAATGACAAACTCGTCTATCCTGGCCCAGAGTAGTTCATTTTATTTTCACTGCAATGTACGGTAAATGTGATCAGTGAACACAGAAAGAAAACAAACTAGGTCCCAATTACACATTTCCAAAATACAGATTTGCAGCCAATGTGCCTGAGAAATGAAATGGTTCCTTTAGATAAGCTGAGCCAAAAGCCTATTTATGATGTTGCATATTTCCATATAAAAAGGAAAGACGTCTGCGACTAAGTAACTAAAATAAAATAAAGGGAGAAAGTGAGAGGAAACTCTTGCTCTCGGATGATTCTTTTTCCGCAAGAGAGGGGTGATCAAATGTCGAGCCATTGTTTTGCACTGCTTTAATTAATTCTGCTCGTTATCTCATAGTGCAGAAAAGACCACGTTTTGGTGGGGAAAGTAAAGGGGGCAGTGCTGGTGATGGAGGAGGAGGGAGAACAACAAGGAGTTGTGAAAGACAAAGAGGAATTACACATATTGTGCTCCTGTTACAAAAACATTTTTAAAGCATCTATACATAAGCAGAAGTGACTGCACAGGTTATTTATGCATGGTGGATTAATGCACAGCCAACAGCCCTTCAGGGTGACATGACGGGCATCCAATTAAAAATAAAAATAGTAATAAAAAGCTCAGAATACTAATAGAAAGCAACATAATAATTGACTCAAATTTGGTGAATTGTGGGAAGAAAATGTGATTTGTAAATTTGTAAACCGAGACAAGCAAAGCTAGAAAAACAACACACAAAAAAGATAAAAATAAATATTTAAAATAATCTGGTAAAGATATTCTAAAATCATGAAGACTAACTTTCATAGTCAAAATCTGCTTCACTCTGAGGACTGCTTAGACCAGAATCTGTAAAGAACAATAAACATAGGAGACAGTGGGTTCAACGACCTACATTGCAACAGTAAAGGCAAAATAAACATGTAAAGTGATAAAATGCCATGAAGTAAAGCACAAAGGCGATATAGCAGGTTTTGTTATTAGAACCAACATTTTATACATGAAGAATAGACATTTAACCAGATAAAAAAAAAACATAAGGTAAAACTTTTTAGAGCTGACCAGGCTTTTACTATCACCAGCGAACACAGTACCCTAATAAAACCTATCCATCCACATGCTGCAATGTATTTAATGGATGTACAGGTCAACCCTTTTCACCGTCTCAACATCTCTTCCTGAGAATGTACAATATCACATCTTCCTCCACGGTCGAAACCTACTTTAGAATTTCAGGGCTACCTTGGAGCTGACATCCAGTGAACATCCAATAGTCTTTATAACTTCTGTTATTTAATGAACACATGTCAGAAGGACTTTGGGAGATACCCATATAAATACCCAGAACTGTTTAAGTGTGTTAAGGGAGAATAAGTGGTACAAAAAGGGGAGTGAAAACTTATGCAGACTGCACTGCTCAGATTTTCAATTGTAAAACAATTTAAAAACCATGTGTTGATCTATCATATAAAATCTCAATAAAACACATTGCGGTTTGTGGTTTTCAATTGACAACATTAGAAAATTAAGGGGTATGAATACTTTTACAAAGTATCAGGTACTATACCAGCACCACAATCCTCTTCAATGGAGAGACTATTTTTTCACAAGTGTCAGCCTCTGCAACTAAAAGGGAGAGACTTTAAATTAAGAATTAAAGATTAACTAAAGAAAGTTGATCTGCTACTTCAGACCTTTCAGATTTATCATTTGAGAAAACAGAGGAAATGACAGGAAAGTTGGGGGAACAAGCTCATGTTTTATGGTAAAAACTAACTTTGAATGGTTTCTTTGTAGCCTCTCACTGAGACTCTGGAAGTAAAAGGTGAGGAAACGGATCTGCATTCCTGGTTGACAGCTGTGGAGCCACAGATGATGGAAGTCAGCTCCGAGGGAATTTTATCTCCTGTCGAAGCAAGTCTTTCTGAGGTCAAGTCAGACCAAAGGTATACTAGGACTGAATGATATCTATCCAAATAGTCAAATAAAATTATTATTTTAAACTAAACATACAAAAAAAAAAAAAAAAATTATTATTTAATGGGATGTGTCAAATTTGCCTGTGAATAACTTTAAGCGCTGGCAGACAAGTTCTGGCTACCATAAAATTGACTTGTTCTGTATAATTCGGCGCAACAAAGCTTTTTGCTTGTCACACATTAATATAAACTGGCATAACAGCAACAGCGCCAAGCTTTAGGTGAGTTTACCTTGTTTAGACATCTTAGTGCGAAGACATCACACTACAGGCGTCAAGCGACAGCAAAGGGCTGAAGACACTGAACATCCCTCTCTTTCTAATTGATTTGTGACAATGACTAATTAAGCCTTACGGGTGGTACTCTGATCCCCTGTCTCTGAACGTCATTCATCACAGCAGGGAGGAGGTGCAGCCATGTCTGATTCTGTTTATGTGCGTGTGTGTGCCGTGTCTGTGATTTGACAGCGCTGTGAGGAGGAGGGCACGCTTGTTAAAGTCACTACCGTAATCGGGGGAAACATGTAGGTTGCTGATACCTACAAGTGTACTGACTGGTACTGATGTGATTTTCAATGTATGAAATGCCTTTTTCTGCAAGGAAATGTTTGATTTGTATGTGCCGACATAATAAAGTGCTTTTTTTTTTCTTCCAGCCAGAATCACGGGGGTGTCAAGTGTTGCACAAGATGCTGAAGTGGTGGTAAAATTGAAGAAAAGCAGATATGGAGACAAAATAAGGAGAGAAAATAACAGAGGTGATAAAAGGTAAATTCAGTTTAGCTGTTACGTAGAGGGTTTTTCATTTGTAAAGGGGGAGATATTTCATATATCTGAATTAGATTTGCATATTTGAATAGAGGTGTTTAATAATGCTGTTGATTAAATTACAATTTTTGAATCAATTAAAAATATATATATTTACTGACAGGAGACAAATGAAGAAAAGCCTTTTTAATTTTTCTGTGATAACTGGCTGATCCATAACCTTCATAACAGGTATTTTAATTAGTCAAAGTTAAATATGTATTTGTCTGCAAGAATCAGCTCATTTCTGTGTCAGTCTTTCAGACGAGCCCCATGGCCAAAAAGTTATGAAAATGCTCTGGCAGTTCCTGGAGGCTGGCGCTGAAACTAAATGAGTGTTTTTAAAAGCTACTGCAAAGCAGAAGCTGAGTGTCACAGAACAGAAGGCAGCTGCAGCCACAAGCAGCAGGGCAGTATTTATGTGCTTTTAGAAAAATTAAACGTACGCAACAAAGTGTATCAAAGATTTTCTACTTTAAGCAAATTCTAGCTTCTCTCCACTCATTTAATTTGATGTAAAGACTTCCGGGGACACTAAATCTAGATGTCATTTTTCACTACACCATCTAGTTCAAAATCTTCTTAAAATGCAGCGCTATTCATAAAAAATCCTTAGGTAGTTCTAAAATCAAAGAGGGTGTGTTTTACCTAATGTATCCAATAATACAACAGCCTCAATCTTATATTAATCTTTTTTTTCCTATCGTTGTGTGTTTGGGATGTTATTTGTTTGCACCTTTTCAGGGTGGACAAGAATAATTCTTTATTTATCTTATTTCCAAACCACATTGTTGTGTAACAAGAGTTAGTCAGTCAGTCTCTTATTCCTGTGGTTATGCAGCATTACTTGGCAGATTAAAACATATGGTTTAGCACTTTGGGGCAAAAAATCCAATCAAATCTCAGTGTTTAATTTTCTAAGAAGCAGCTTATGCATAAAACAAAACAACCGAATTTTTTTTTTTTTATTGTGAGAGTGGGTTCTTCTCTTCAACTTTATGTATTTTCACAGCTTTGTTTGGTTTCCCCCCTCAACGTCTCAGGCAGGAAAAGGAGCTGTAGCCTGTGGGGTAGTCTGTACTGGCCATGTGTCAATTCCCAAACATGACCTTTGGAAATCTGCTCATAAACTATTGAAAACTTCATCCCGCAGCAGATTATTCAGTTATTCTAGCTTGATAAAAAGGGTCACAATTTCTCAAATTTCTTAAATGGTCCAAATGGTGGGCAGAACTACAGTCTGTGGAAAGAGGATTTAATTTTGAATCTTTAGAAATGTATGCATAGTGTGAATATTGAACATGGAATTTGCTCATTTTTATTATCTTCAAAATAAAAAAAAGACTAAACTACTCAAAGAAATGAACTAAGAAGGAATACATAAGTACATCAGTTTTTTCCATAGATATAAAATTAAAGTTGTTTAGGACAAAATACCAATGCTTGGGTATGAAATGGATGAATGAATTCAATGAATTACTGAATTGGTATTATTGAGTGCACCCTATGAACCATGGATTGGAATACTTTGAACAGTGGAACAAATTCACAAGGCTTTCCTACATTAGTAATAAGCCACTTTCAAAAGACTTTTTTAAAAGCTCAGCCTCTGTGACCTTCAGGCATTTTTGCCATGATTTATGTAATGTGTGAGGAGGCATAGAGGTTGAGGTTAAATGTTGCGCCTTTTAGTGGGAAAGGGAAGTAGATGGAAAACTGAGTGTGTAAGTAGCTGTGAAGTAGGGGAAGGTAGAACTCCACTTATTGATTCTGAGATCCATATTTTGTTTCTGTAAGGTCTATGTGCAGTAACACCCCAGGTGATTGACTCTTGAAGAGTCAAAGTGACCTAAATAAGGCAGGACTACACTACTGTGGAATTATTTTAGTAGGCCTTTTAGTAATATGAACTGGCTGTGCCATCATTTATCAGGTATTAATTTTTCTTTCATATAATACGATGAGAAATGTAATGATGTTGCATTATATTTACTGTAGACAAGTGCAGAATATTTGATTTCATTTTGTACTTTGGTTTTTTATTCGGATATATGTTGCATGTACATCTTTTTATTGCATGATAACCAAATGTGACGTTTGATTCTCATGTCTTTGAAATCAGAAAGGTTACCAAGTTTGACAATTTATTTGAAAGCTACTTCAATTTTAATCATGATTAGTTTTTCTAGCTATTAACATCCTTTTTATTTTTGAAGAAAGAAAAGGGATGACAGAAAAAAAAGTATGGTCAGAGATAGACAGCAGATATCAACTTAGTTGTGCTGCTTTAGGCATTTGCCCATATTTGAGAATTAAATCCTGGGCACAAAGAACGATTGTGACAAAACTAGACATTTTCTGCCCAAAAGGAGTTGGAGGATTTCTTTGTGAGGCTGACACATCACCTACAGGCTTCAGAGCACACACACAACCACACACTGCGAACACTCTCTCGAAGTAAGACTTTGCAGATTGGAAACATAATCAAAAACATATTTTATGTTCCTCAGCACTAGGGGTCACTGAGCTCACACAGCCAATACGGCATATGCTCTGTTGCATTTGAGAGTCTTGAATAACTGCACTGGGACTATGCCAATTGAACAATAGCTGCTATTAGCTGATGGGAATGTTCACAAATGCTCACCGGCCCTCTTAATTGGGCTAAAATGTCCACTCAAATTAAATTTCCTGGGTGTTGAGATAAAGAGAGCAGCCAAGTCTGTGGAACAATGTAAGGGTTGTTGAATGAGAACACTTGCTTTATATAAAGTCTCTGCATATACCAGTACTAGTAAATGTAATGGGAAAATGGAGCATTAGATTGTAACATAAGTTTTAATTCCTTCATTAAAATGAGCAGGAAAATGGAGTAGCAGATGGCAAACAGTCAAGCAAAGATTTACAGCGAGGGTGGTCATTGGAAACTGAAATAACCACAAAGAATGTTTCAGAAAAAAATGAACATGACAAATGGGATGATCCTATTAACGTGACCATTTCTTTGGCTAAGTGGGAATGTGCACCTCCTTTCAATCCCATTTTCTAAAATCTGACACGAAGAAGTCTGTTTAGCCCAAAGAAACAAACTCCAGGCAGCATGTCTGAACTCCCAAAGCTGAAGAGGGTTGCTCTATTTTTGAAATCTGAGCCTTTTGATGGTGCAGAGACTGGCCACTGCTGACAGACGAATGACTGAAAGATGTCTGGGCTCAGAGACAAGAGGCATAAAAGAAATAAATAAAAAAACAACTGAAACGAAAACAGGCTGCATCAGTTTTTACCCCAACTCCAAAATATGTCCTCTTTTTTGGATGTTTACAGAAACAGGTAAGGAAAACCCAATGAGGGATTTTTTTTTTTCTGAAAGGTTCAATGTCAAAATAAATATTAAGCAGAAGTCCAAATTAAAAACAAAAGGCTTCATGTAAAAACTAAATTGTTGATTATTTGTGGATTCAGCGCTAATACATCAATATAACAGCTGCAATTAGTGTAAATAAATCACAGTGCATTTCAAAAGTATTCATACCCCTGAACATTTTTTTTTCAATACCAACCAAGAATCTGTGACAACAAATAATATGTAAATAAAGTTTATATATATATATATATATATATATATATATATATATATAAATATATATATATATATATATATATATAGAGAGAGAGAGAGAGAGAGAGAAAGAGAAAGAGAAAGAGAGAGAGAGAGAAAACCAAACCAGCACATTTTACATGTTTCCTGAAGGATGTTTAAAACATGTTTATAAAATTATTTTGCAAACATGTATTTGAAACGCCAATGTTGTTAGTATAATGCTGATGTTCTACCTTCATATTCAGAACACTACTTAAATCTTATTCCTGAGCAGCTGAAGATTAACAATCCTGATTCACTTATGACTCAAGCAAACAGAAGAAACTGTAGATTCAACTTTAACCAAATAATGAGAACAACGACTGGAGCAAAACAAGAAAGTCCAAAACCACAATAAAAAAAGGTCTTATGGGAAATGAAGGAAAACATGTCAAATGAACTGAAGAAGCCAAAAAGAATGTGTGAAGAATGTAATTTGCTCAGTTGCAAACATCAGAGTTTTTAGCTTGGACAGACATCAGAAGAAAAGAAAGACAAAAGTGGAACCGCGTAAAACCCCAGAGAACAAAACAGTATTTGTATCCAGTTTAACAATCATAATTTCTTGCAATTTGTTAATCATTATTGGCTAATTGGTACATGGGGATATGGGAAATGTAGAAATATGGCCTGTAGCCAGTTAGAGAGGCAAAATAATGTTGAACGTTATAATGAACACAAAAAGGTAGAAAATAAGTAAATCTATATTGGATTTTATGCACAAATTGTCATTGAAAAGTTGGACTTTTTTGCTCTGGAAAAGAGAATTAACTGTGCTATCTTTTTAGTCTAAAGTAATAGAATGCACACAGTAAAAAATTGTAATTTGCTTTAACATTCGACAGTAAATCCCTTTGAAAAATCAATAGATCTGAAGAATCCCTGCAGTTATTCTATATGGAGGTTGAACAGTGTTTTAGCACTACGTTAAAGTCACTAACACTAACCCTCATGACTCTACCCTTCCAACTGGTTTATGCCTCCTATTGATTTATGCCACTTCATAAAAAAAAGACCACAAGTCTGCCATAGTTGTAATAAAACATGTAGCACAAATATTCTTATGCAAATAAGAGTTTTACAGAGAATAATATCAATACTGTGAATGTGCCTCCCTACCTGGAGTTTGGAAGTTGATGCGTCTCATTTCCACAGGGTCTGTGGGATGGTGGGGTGTAATATCTGCATTGTTAAGCAGACATTTTGTGCGTGGCTCAGACTCTTTTCTCTTCCGACTGTGAAGCAAAAAAGAGCAGAGAAGCATAAAGATGACAAACCATTGACGAGGAGGAACATGAAGTCAAAGTGTTATCCAAAAGAAACATATATTTTTACCCCACCTTTTTACCCCATTTTTTGATGAAAGCCTCCACTCAAGTATAGTTAAATGCATAATTATACTTGTTTCTAAATGTATTACCCATTTAATTAAGGATATTAAACTTTTTAAGCCTCTGACTTTAAGACAAAGCACCTTTTTGAAAAAAGAAAAAAAAAACTTGCACCTCTCTACAGCAAGAACTCAAGATCCTCCAGTGTTCTTCATATTCTAGGAAGGCAGGCTACTCCCTTGTTTTGTAAAATGCACTGAATCTAAGTAAGACTACACCTTACCTGTCTGGTTTGCTGTTTCCATAGAATGCAACAGGAGCCAAATAAATATATAAAGATGGTAAAAACACAACACACAAGGAGAGAGGGAGAGGGGGAGGCAAGAAGAGATATAAATCAATAGAGAGCAGTTTAAAATTCACAGGGGTCACTGCTGGGCTCGCAAAAAAGCGAGATGAAGTTCATCAGCATTTGAAGGGGTGAGAGTGTAAATGTGTCTGCAGATGTGTCAGAGGGTAAAAATAAGTGAGTGCCTTATGAAATGTAGCTAAGCGCATGCATTTGTGAACATACGAGTGTTGTGTCTGCGTGTGTGTTGGTGTGTGTGTGAGGGCGCGGATACAGCAAGGAGAGGGGAATGTCAGGGCCAAGGGCAGACCCGGGAAACACTATTCACAAGGGAGAGAAGGGGGAAGCAGGGGGGGAGTAGTGGTGCAAGCATAAGATGAAGAGAAAGGGAATGGAGAAAAAAGAAAGAGATCCAAGGAGAGATGTTACTCTCCCTAACCACCAAGACTGAGGTAAGGCAAGGTCAGACAGCGGGGGGATCATCTGACAGTAGAAGGCTACACTTGTATTGCTCACCCCAGCCCTGGTACCCCTTTAGATAATTCAGGAATCTCCTCATGTGTATAGAAACTAGCTCTTACACTTGAGTTCTAACTACCAGGATGTGGAGATAAGGAAACAGCGAGCTGTGAAACAAGGGCAGCCTATTGAGCTGATCCGTCACTTTCTGCAGCTCTTTTATCGAGCTTGGATAGAGCAGCTGATAATTACAGCAAGTGTATCACTGAAAAGAATTAGAACCTAACTTAATCTAAACTGAAATTAATCAATTTGGAAGCATTTGTTTTTTTAAAATAACCTGGAATAATTTAAATAAATATTTAAGAACATAAAACTGATTCTTATGAGTTCATCATCTTTGAATCTTCTCGTCTCTTTATTTCTCCAATCAGCTCACTTCTCACAGTCATCTTTTACCACAGCAAAGCTTCTTTCACATTTGCATGCAACAATGTTATTGGGTCTTTGGACATCACGCTGCAATGAATACAAAACACGACCCCGCTTCAGCATGCTTCCTGACATGCAATTATTTCCCAATAACCCAATTCCTCACATAAACTACCAATAACCAGGTCAACATCAAATAATGAGAACACATTGTGGTATTGCTGGACATGTGGAAAATTTAATTTTTATAGCACATTTAGTCCAAATAACAAAACATGGCATGGGGTTTCAGATTTTATGAGCGTATGGCTGGAGCAGGGACTAAAACTGCAAAGCCTTGTTAAGGCTCAATGTCTAAATGGCAAGTGTAGAGTAATAATAGTGAGATGATATGTTTAACATCCGACAAAAAAAGCTCATTTACTAGCAAAATATGGACAAAGTAAAACTACCTGGAACCCAGGCGGCTATTTCCTATTTGCCGGCTGGCGTGAACAATTTTATTTTCAGAATGCTGTCTAAATTATATTCTAAGATGATTATTCCAAATATTTCAAAGCAAACTCACTTTTTCAAAAGGAGAATGGAGATGACAATGCCAATGATGAAGACCACAGCCAAGACAGGGCCGACCACCCAGATGAGTCCATCACCAGTCTCTACTGGCAAAGGATCCACCACCAACTCTGGAGTCATCACTGTATCAGTAAACGGGCTGGTTGCAAACATTTTCTGATGGAAATAAAAAATAAAAAAATTATAAAAAATATATATAAAATGAGTAACATAGTGACAATGAAAATATATGAGTAATTTTATCAGCAGGCCAGGTCAGAGTTGCACTGATCAGAGATTTTGTGGTCAGCTTCTAATATTAATCAGGACAAGCTTAATACAAACAAAATGTAACTAAAACGAAAGCGGACACTTATAATTTTTATAATATTTCTATCTGTAAGCCTCAGGCAAAAATAAAAAACACCTAAATGAGTTTCTGAAAAGCAAAATTGACTAAAACAAAGCAACTAAAGTGTACTGAACTGAAATGAACCTGAAACTCACCCCCACAGTGGAGTTGAGTTCAGCCAGCAGGAAGAAGACATATTCCTGACCAGGTTCGAGGGGCTTATTCTCGCAGCTGCTCAGGGGGTGGTCATATCCCACTGTGAAGGTGGAGGGCAGCTTCTTGAAGCAGGCTGTGATGTAGGCACTCCGCTGGTCCAGTTGAGCCAGCTGACGCCGCGAACGTCGCTTTGGGATCACATCCCTCAACAGCTGGTCAAAGAGTTAAGATGGTATTAGCTCATCTCATTCACATTTTTCTTTCTGTGTTGCAAATCCTACATATGTCTCAGATTATTAGGATCTATTAAGGATGTCCTTATTAAGGATGTGTTTTCATTCTGGCTTAAAATTTTTCTGAAACTATATATATTTATCTATACATTTATTTTCAATTTAGCTGTTTCTAATTTTATTTTAAAATAGTAATTGCACATACCCATCCAAATAACCAGTGGGAACATCTGGTTTGGTACCGCAACATTCAATTACTGACCAGTTTTTTGGCTTCTTCTGGTATCTTGATGATTTATCATCGTTAATGAGTTGCACATGTTTGAGGTTGAAATGCTTCCTTTCCATTTGCCTAATACTTGAATCTCTCCACTGATATAAGTCAGGACTGTGGCAAAGTCTCACCAAAATACCAATAATGCCTTCAGTCAGAAGAAACATGTTAGTAAAATTAAAATATAACTTTGAAACTAAATTTACAGTGGCATGAATAAACCTCAGGCTTAACTCTACATAATATTGTCAGTTAAATAATGATATAAAAGAAATTATTTTGTAGGATTAATTTTGTTATTCTTTAACAAATTATTTGAGTATCTTAAGCAGATGAAATAAAATAAAATGCAATGCTAACTAAAGAAGCTACATGGCATTTGGAAGCAAAGAAAGAAACATTCAACCTTCTGCATTCTGTTCAGACTGCAGGCACAAACCATGGGGAATGTGTGTAATCCCAATTCCAAAAGAAATGGTTGTCGTAGATTTAGCACCAAAGGTGACCCCCAGCTATGGGAAGAGTTGGAGAAGACTGCATAATTCTGTCTTCTGCATGCTCTGGGGGATACATTTGCATTGCTGAGATGTTCTAATGTCTGTGCCCACTCTGGTAAATGGTGTTTACAACACTGCTCGCATTTACCACCATTGATTCGACAAACACAGAATCTCTAAGAGAAAAGACAAGATTTCTCTATGGAGAAGAGTTTCTTCTTACCTGGCATACATATCATGTGTTTTCTCCAGTCTAATTCAGTGTCCTTCACTACATATTTGGAAGATTTACTTCATATTAAAAGAGATCTTACCTCTTCTATGTCCATCTCATCAGGATTCTTCAAGTTTTTAACTGTCCCTGATGTTCTTTTAAGAGGCACCACAACCACATAGAAGCTCCTGCAAATGTACCAGGAAAGTAAACATATGAAGGTGTAAAATGTTTCTTTATTACTTAGTTCTAACTGCAAGACTTAAGAATTTTTTACAAATATGTGCACTACCAATAAGCAGGCTATGACGTAGTCCCTACTAGTATAGTAGGCAATGCCAACATATCGTTCTATACTCACTTGACATCCCCACTGTTGAATGATGGAAAAGACATAGTGAGCTTGTTCTCAGTCTCAGAGTAGATATCCAGTTTGGGTTTCTTGATCATAATGAAGGGTGCCGTACTGGCTGTCACACGATGCCTGGGTTCACCCTCCAGGCCTTCTTGGCATTTCACCCCGAATTTATAGTTAACGCTGTGTCTGAGCCCAGTGATGTATGCCTTCAACTTCCTAGCATCCACATCCATCTTTTGCCCGTTATACTCAATCTAGATTTGAACATATTAAAATTTTTACTTTTAGAACATAGCCACATAAACTGGTAAATAAATAGGTAACAGAGAAATGCCACTAGTGATTGTGTTCTGAAAATTAGATTTTTTTTTTTCAAAATATGAATGACAGTCAAACAATCATATAAAAACATTGTACAGGTTCAAATTTAGTTTATTCCAAGGACTACTTGGCATATATTTTTAAGCTCACCATGCATTTGTATGGTGATCCTCTATCTGAAAACTTCCACCCAAGGACTATTGTTGTCTTGGTGGCCCACTTAACAGTAAAATTCTTTGGGACATCTGTTGACAAGACAAATGTGAGAAAAGAAAAAAACAGATCGAACAGTAAGTCAAACAAATAGAGACAAAAAAAGGAATAAATGAATAAGTTTGGCTCTAAAACTAAAGCTGCTCCTCCCCTGCGATGTTCCTCTGGGTTAAAGAGTGAATGCAACGGTGATCTGTGATTGGCTGGGAGAAGGGCAATGCCACTGGTTAACACACATAGCACGTAAGACTCATTGACAACAAATGGAGCACAAGTGTACGCCCTTTGGCTAGCCATCATTAGGAGTGCCAAACCATCTCACCACTGACTTTGAACTATGACCACTTGATGATTAACAATTGACCCTTGCAAAACACCCAATGCCAACTATCCCTACAGTGTTGCAGAGTTTGAGTTGGCACTGCCAATGTACTGCCACACAAACACTGAGACAGACCCAATACACTGCATGCCAACAGTCCTGAGCAGTGCATCTGTGAGATGCCATGCCACAAGCTGTCCTGTTAAGGGACAAAGGAAAGGGAAAAGAGGAAGGGAGCTTTGGGAGAAGAAGGATGTAAAGAAAGAAAAAAAGTATCTAACCCAAAGTTAAAATAAAGTCAAGTTATAGTCATAGTTGTGTAATCCTGAACACCCCAAACATAGAGTTGCTGTGACTGGATTTGACTGGAGTCCTACCTTTTTTGAAAACTGGAAAGTGAGATGGCATAAGCGGCGTGAACGTGCTCAACAAAAGGCTGCAAGGACCGACAGGAGTGTCTGACCACCATCACTTACCTTAGTAATTCTAGGCTGCTCTCCACTTTCTCAATATGACTGACTGTAACTTACTGACTTTCATTTTTACCTGGTTTGGTTAGTGATGCAAGTAATCCAGGGAAAGCTAATTAAATACCAATCATTTTTGGAAGAGCGGTCAAGTTGGTTGAAGAAGTTGGTTGGATATTTCTTTTTTTATTTTGGCAAATGTGAACCATATTTTGAGTCAATTTCCAACACCCTGCATCAGGGTTTGAAAAGAAACAGGCAAGCCCTACCTGTGGTATCAATGGCCATGGTCCGATACTGGATGGGCGGGCTGTAGGGCCCTGGACCTATACTGGTGTGGGCACGTATTTTCACATCATATGCAGAGTTTGGTTTGAGGCTGTTGAGCTCAAAGCTAGACTGGTGGGGAGGTAAACGGAGTTCTTGTGGCGCTTCTCTTGTTCCGGCTTCTTTATAAGCCAGAGTGTATTCTGTGATGACCCCATTCCTCTCTGCCAGCACTGGTGGAGACCAGGACAGCTGCACTGAGCAGCATGTTACCATTGAGCCCTCGTTAATTTGAGGGTATCCTCCAGGGGTATTCTCAGGAACAGCGAGTTCCTTCACAGCCTCTTCCCCAAAGCCCCCTTTGCTTTTGGCGGAGATCTTAAAGAGATAAGTGGCACCCCGGTGAATGTTGCCAACAAAATACTGGCGTTCATGGGGAGCAAACTCCAGTGTGGCCAGAGGGGAGACGTCTTTCCGGCCAAACTGGAGGCGGTATCCCTGCAGGTCCATTCCATTTATCAGGTCTGGTGGGTCCCAGTGAACAATAGCTGAAGTCTTTGAATCTTGAGCTACTGACAGATTCGGCGGACCAGGAACTGTGCAAAAAAAGTAATGGAGAAAAATCTTACTTTTCCATTTATACAAGATTCAATACCATCTGTAGAGATGTTACTAAATTATCTCAACAGACAAAACTTCAAACATAATGATTGCTGAATAGTTGATATTTTTAGTCAATAGGTTTGAAGTCAATAGACCAACACAAAATAGAATACTGCAGTAGATAATCTGTCATTAATGCCCAAAAATAAAGTGTTTTTGATAACACTTTGACAGGTTGTAAATAAGACTGTCATGACACCATCATAAACATGACATAACACCTGTCATAAATATGAGTAAGTCTTCATGAATATTTATGACTGCTGTCAAAGTGTCATTCGGTAAATCATGACACTTTTAATACAAAGTTGACATTATTCAAAATTAACCTAGACAAAAATGTCTTTGTTAGGACAACATGACATTAACCAAGAAATCATGATCTGACATAAATTTGTTATGAAAGTATTACTGATTAAACTTTAAAAAAATATGCAGCTTTATGTTATTAAAAGCTAAAGTTTAATCAGTGATACTTTTATAACAAATTTATGTCAGATCATAATTTCTTGGTTAATGTCATGTTGTCATAACCAAGACATTTTGAATAATGTCAACATTGATTTAAAAGTGTCAAGATTTATCGGATGACACTTTATGACAACAGTCATAAATATTCATGAAGACTTACTCATGTTCATGACAGGTGTTATGTCACATTTATGACGGTGTCATGACAGTCTTATTCACAACACGTCAAATAAAGTTTCAACACATTTTCAAATGGCATATTTATGCTTTTTTTCTTAATGTTGCAAAGCAAAGCTAAACTGCATATATTTCATAATTTATAAAATATGTTTGTATTATGTTTTCTGCATATGTGATTATAGGACACACAAGTTCAAACATGCTCAATTATTAATGTTAAAAGATCATAGAGACTAAAGATTTAAACAAAGAACAGTTCCTCTTTTAACTGTTGTCATATTTTACTTGTAAAATGTCTGCTCTACTTAGGGGCCCAAACTCCATCGCTCAGGGCAGTCCGGTTTTGCCGCTCTTATGAATGGCATCTCATCCAAATCCCGTTTTTAAAGGCCCAATCACTCAGACAGAGGTAGCAGGATTTAAAAGAAGCCTGCCGATCCTCACCAGCTGTAAAGGTTTTAGGAGAGACAAGTGTGGCTGATTTGTTCTAAAGCCACATCTCAGCGTAAATAGGGGTTACCTTGGATCTATTTTCAATAACTTGCCATTTCTCTGTGTCTTTGAACAAACAGAAGGTAGTGCCAAAACAAGTCCTATTAATAACATTTCGGACACATGTATGAATATGTTTTGCTCTCAGATCTCAGGAATCTGAGTCTGAAAAATAATCTTTCCAGACTATTTTGAAAAGGTTTTAGGAAAGTGCCACTTTGTTTTAAAAGTGAATATCATTGTACTTTCTTCCCATTCTTCCACAGACCTGGCCCTCGAATTCCTTGAGAGAAACTGGAGGATAATTATGTGATGACTGATTCAGGAGACTAAGGCATAGTATAAATTATAGCAAGCATACAGACAACATTGTAAATGCACCATTAAAAAAAAACAAACTTGAGAACAGAAAAAAATATTCTTCTGGATTTGTACTTTTGTTGATTGCTGTTTTTCTAATGGATAGTAAATAAAGTAAGACAAATTACATGAGAGATACAGCTATAAATTGGAGATACAAATTGGTTAATGGCTGAATTAAGCAGAAACTGATACATTTTAGGAGCTATTACAAATGTTAACTTTATTCAATCACAGAAAAATGAAAAACAGACGAATGATCATCCACAATGAAAGAATTTCAATTATCATTCATCTACAAAACACCAAAAGGCTGTTTTGCCACATTCTCGTCTGCAGCATGAAAGCAGACTGCAATTAAAGACATGCAGTACTTCACAAAGCCAACCCCTAGAGCTGCTGAGTGATTGAGGAACACAGAATAGGAAATAGTTTATTTATTTTATGAAATGTAATTTGATTTGGTGAAGTGATGGTGTATTTATCATTCACAAAGCTTGCCAAAAGAATTGATAAAGTAGGTTTGCAACAATTGTATGAGGTCTTCATGAATTTATCAAGCTGAATAAGCTAAATGGAACTCTAATTTTGATTAACTACAACGAAATATTTTCTGCATAGGAAATATTTCATTAGCAGTTTTAGGACCCCCACCGATGGATGGGACCGTTTTGTTCTCCACTTTACATTGTCGGTAAGTGACATATATAAAGACTTTTCTCTTTGCATCTGTTTTTCCACTACCCATTTTTATGCATCTATGCACGTATACACACACACACGCACACCCCCCCCCTCCCCCCACACACACAAACAACATTCTGCTTTTTACAATCCACTTTCTCTTGCCTTATTAGTCGTTTGTGTTTGATAATTTGAGCCTTTCTGGAGACGATTGCGAGAAGGAAATGGGAGTGGGTGGGTTAGATGGTGGATTGTCAGCAGAGCTTTTGCCCATAAGGGAAAGGCACGGGTGTTGCATATTGGGTGAAACAAATCCTACTAATACTTCTTGGCTACATGCTACAGATCAGCTTGGTGTCATTTAAAAGCCCACTCTGCCTTCATCCTTGCAGTTAATCAAGAAAATGGAATTGGAGATAATGATCCTGAGATAATATCATGGGTGCATTTTCCATTTTCATTTTTTGTTTTTGCTTCTCTTTGAAAATCAACAGGCTGCTTTGTGTATCCTTTGCAGCCTTTGCAACCCCAGCAACCCCAGCGACGGTTTTATTATTTGTACATTCAAAACTGTGGCCTAATGCATTGTAGGGGAGAGGGATCAGGGGCACTGAGCCAGCAGATTGGTGTCGGGAGGGGAGGTGGAAGCCAGGGATTGTTCAAGCTGTGTGTATGTGTGTGGTGCCACAGGGTGATGATAAGAGAGCAAGGGCATGGTGAGGAGAAGAAAAATGAGTGAATGAGGGATGATGAAGGTGACTAGGGACAGGGAGCAATCAGCTGCAAAGAGGACCCACAGGGATATGAGGAGCTTGATATGTTTGTGTGTGAGGGTGAAGGTACATGAGTGATTCTGGGATTTCTGGACACCTTGATTGTCCTTTTCTTCTTTACCCTTTTCTTGCCGCATTTCCTCACTTCTTCCCCTAAGCTGCCCTCCACCACATTCTTGTATATCCAAACCTCCTGCCCAGCTCTTTGTCTTTGTCCATTTCATAACACATCCTGGTTCAATCCCTCCATGTGGAACCCCCGGCACGTTTCTCATCAAACTGCAGAATTAACAGCTTTCTGTTGACGCTCACTCACTGACTGAGAAAGGGGCAACAATGTTTTCTCCTCATCACCTCCTCTCTTATGTTTACCATTCATACACTTGACAGACAGACAGACTCTTCAAAGTAACTCAACTGAGTTGTAGCAGTATTTTATAGGCCTTTGCTAAGGCAACAGCCTGTAAGCATGTTGCAACCTGCATCCAGTGGCATAAGCATGCATTTCTCAGAATTAGATATGAATCAGATTCTCATATCTTCCCTTTTCCCACATGTTCTTCTATTCTTTCATTCCAAAGCACCACCAGCTCTACAATGATAAACTACTTCCAAGCTTTGGAGACCAGAATAGAGTCGGGTGTGTGGCCAAAATATGTGAAGCTTTTCAGCTAGGTATCCAGATTACCCATAGAGAATGAAAGAGCCTGCATCAAGTCAGTAGAAGGTGATGATGATCCAGTACTTGTGGATGTAGCTCTTTCGAAACTTAGTGTGGCCCTCAGCAAAAACGTACAGGTTCTTCAAACTTGCAACAGTAACTGACATTTAATTGTGAAAAATGACTTTAATTTCTAATTAAATCTAGGACACCTGGGATAATATCTGAAAATATACCAATTACCCTTGAATTCATTGTGCCGTCACACTTGCTGTTCCCACACAGCTTAAACTATCAAATGTGTTCTACATCACTGTCATTTGCAAAGTTGCAATAAAGCCCCCCAAACCCTCACAAAAGGCAACTTTTTCCACAAAATGTGGTCTATGCACTGAATGACTGCTACAAGACGGTTAAAGTCTGGTGGAACTGGTGGAACTGGGAGAATATCCTCCTGGATGCAGATTTGTTCATACTAACATTTTCACCTAAGGTTGCCTCAATGATAAAATAACCAAATGAGGTCAAAAAGTCACTTGACACATTGAGATAGTGACATCTGCAGGATGTGGCATTGAATCTTTATATATTTAAAATATTTCTGATCACTCTTGTAACCATTCTTTGTTATAATAAGTTATGCATGTCATGACTTTTCTTATATTTCTTTATGTATAAATAGGACAGATTTATATAATTTAGACTTTACAGTTTCCCACTGGCAACAATTGTTACCGGATATAAAACCTACATTTTCACTAATGTAACCAACATAAAATATCATGTGTCAGGGAGGTCCAAGGTTTGAAATGCATGCACTTATTTTGTAGATTTTTTTTTTTTCCATCAACTCATTTCTTCACTCAACATAATCCAAACTCCTCCTTCCCCACATGACAAAGTTGTGCCCAGTGGGCAAACAAGTGTTTTGTGCTTGTGTGGATATTTTTTTTTTAAATAGCAAAACCTATGGCATAGTTGTAGGCTGATTACTGATTTTAAGGTATGCCAAGGTTAGCAAGTTACATTTTCAGAATTGCTGAAAGGTTCTGAGAGAAAAACACAAACAGTCATGGTGTTGAAACCAGACAGGTGTCACCCATTGATCTTAAGGTAATGGTTATAGATGGGAACAACATACAGCAGAATGGAGGCTGGTTACCAAAACAAATAATCTAATTAATTAACCAGCACTTTGCATGTGCAGTTTAATGATAAACATTGTCTTTGGCAGCAACAGGAACCTTTCTCCCGTTGGTCCTGGTGAGGTTGACTCTTAGACTTCATATAGAGAGCTTGGAATATATATATATATATATATATAATATATATATATATATATATATATATATATATATATATATATGTCATGTTTCTGAGAACATGACATTGTGTTGTTTAAAATAAAAAAAATCTCAGACTTTTATTAAGATTTGTTCACATATACAAAACTATTATTGCCAGTTCTGGAGGATGAAAAGACTGATGTGAATTGACTTTTTAGCAACACAAAAACCTGCTCTCCTTTTCATGATGTTCCATCTCGATGTAACCTTTCAGGCCTTTATGTCTCCAAAAGTAAGGAAATTGCTTTGACATCATCACTCCTAGAGGCATTTGTGTTCTACAAATGCATGGGTTTACGATTATTTATTTTTTTTAAAAAAAAGAAAGAAAAAAAAACTGAACAGGTATTTCATAACTTTCATAACTTGTACAGACACTCGTGTGATTCAAAATTGTACAGTTGTACAATAGATCATAAATTACCTCATACATTTACATCACATATACAATATACGAACTGACTCTTTATTGGAGTTTGTTAATAGAAGGGTTAGGACGCGTTATTTAAAGTTCCTTTTTCTGGTTAAAATTTTACAGAGGTTAATTTAAACTACATAATCGTCTCATCCACTGATCAAGCCCAAAGTTATGACAGGTGAAGGGAAAAACACTGATTATCTCTTCGTCATGGCATCTGTTGGTGGGTGGAATATATTAGGCACCACATGAACATTTTGTTCTCAAAGTTGAGGTGAGTAAAACACAGGAATTATTAAAGGTGTCAGACTACACAGATCATTGCATATTGGAGTGCACAGCCACAGATCAGTCATAATGCAAAAAGGTTGACCACTTCCTGCCAATAAAAGCACTGTCAACGGGCTTACGAGCATCAGCTGGATCTCAGTCCCCAAGTTGGACTGAGATTTGGAAAATTCTAATGCTACGTCTAATCAGTACATTTCTTGATATTGTTCAGTTTTATCTAAAATCCCTATAAGTGTGAATAAATTTAAGTTTGTTATTGCTTGAAAAAGAAAAAAAAAATTGTAAAATAATTTCTGTAATTATTTTAAAATATTCTCATGATTGACCACAAATATTTTACTAGGTAAAATCTCTGTTCCTCACATTTCCTACATCTTCACCTTTATCTTTTCTTATAACAAAAAAATAATTTATTTAAACATCAATAATAATTATGAAAAAAGAGTAAGATTGTTGTCAGAGAAAGGACCAGATGACTATGGAAAAATTAGGATAGAGCAACATCAAACATGATCCTTTTTCCAACTTTTAGGAGAGGGATCTATGTATTTAGTGGTCTAATGCCTTAATAAGAAATAGGCCTGGATGAGGTCCGTGTGCATGGGGTGTTGTTTCGACATCCATATGCCTGCATGTGTAGCATATACTAAGTTGCACCAATATAAGGTTGCACTTTCTGCAACCTCAGTATTAAACAAGATTAAAATACAGCCTCACAATTTAGATTACATTTATGCAAGCTGAATGAGCACATGCGGTTTACACAAACTGTGCACACCAGTGGTTATCAGGGGACAAATTAAGAATACAACGTTTTGTAGAGTTAATACATTTGCCTTGAATGTTTTATTCATACGGCAGAAACCAAAGATCCAAGTGGGGTTTTCCAAGTGGGGTTTTCATGCTGTCATAATCTGTCTGAAGAAATCTGAAAGTATCTATGAGTATGCCCTTGATATCCTCAAAAATTGCGGACGGTCTTCTGAGCTCGGCTGAAATTATAAAAGAAATACTAATACAAGTCAGCATCTGATGAAACACAGCTAAAGCTATAGCTTTAGAAATTTAAAGCAAAAGCTCATGAAATGATGTATCCTTGATAAAGACACATGATCAGGTCCCTCAAATGTCACGACCTGTTAATGTAATATGTGTCTGTTTGTCCCAATGTTCCAAATAGTTAAAAAAAATGTGTGTGGTTTTGGCTATAAATCTGAATTTTTTATGAGGTTTGATTAAAAAAACAAAAACAACTAAAGTAAGAGATAGCTTAAACTGATCAAAAACCTCTTCCTGACAACAGCCTTTAGTCACAGGCTGAATTTCAGAATTTTATTTCTGTACTGACCTGCCCCTTTGGTCACCACCACTTTGGGTTTACTCCGTGCTCCATCCCCTTTGGTGGTGTATGCTGCTACTGTGACGGAGTAAGTGGTATCTGGCTTGAGTCCTCCGATGACCATTTCCTAAGGGGAACACGGGATAGACAGGGAAAAGGAAAATGTCAAAACCTCTCCTGAATTTTTCATGATCTGACCCCACTTTGTAGAGCTCAAAGCACCTTGTGCTGAATGTTAATCCAAGCATCTCCTGGTTCTCTTTATTAATTTTCACGAGGATGCATGCATTATATGCAACGATTCCCTCTGTGTAATGGGAAACCATTACGCAAACCCTCAGAGCCACAGAAGTGGAGAAGGGACATTATGTATGTAAATGCAAAGTAGTTCTCTCTTCTATTACTTCAGCAATTTCTCGATCAACAACTTAACTTTGATAAATGCCCACTGAATACATCCTGGCCTTTCACCGGCAGTTTTTACCTATGCCATTACAGTTCCTTGAGTCTTCTTCAAAGAGAAGCTTCCGATCAATTCTAATGAATCTTTCAAGGGAGACGGTTTTCAACGAATGCAGAATGAGGTTTTTAACAGGCTGGTTGGCAGGGAGGATGGGGTAAGTCAATAATGGTAAATAAGCTATAAACACTTTTTATTCATTATAGTATTTTTCTGTACCACAGGTACTTTTTGTTTAATTAGGGTGAAATTTAGCAGTCCTACAGCGTTTTCCAAAAGTAAAAGTCATTTTCCACATTTTGTTATGTTTCAGTGTGATTTGCTGAGATTTTCAAGTGCAAATCAAAGTTCTCTTCATCCATTTTCAAATTAGATATGAGCATCTTTCCTAAAGAAAGGCAATAACCCACAGCACAACTACCATGTTTCTAAGTGTAACTGCAAAATATTTAGCTTGTCTTATCAAAAAAAAAAATCTGCTTACATGTGTCAATTTAATCTGCATGATCATTGATTTTTACTAGTCTTTCTTTAGGACCGGATGTGTTAAATGTACCACTAATAACTGTCCTGTTGACAACGTGTCTCACCTGAGCTGTTTCTCTACAGGATCTCTACAAATACAATGGGCTGCTTGTATTTGTACTGTGACAAATACATACGGGTTCAAGGAATAACAACTCTTTAATACACTGCATAATAAGAATTTGCAGTTGGAACCAAAAACAGGCATTTAGGAAACTTATCACCATTTTTATGAATCTCAAAGTGACACAACAATACAAAGCAACACAGTCACCACATCACAAACTACAAATTCAAACAAATTTAATATATACACACGCACAAAAGAAAAAAAAAGTCAAAAGAAACAACTGTTTTTGCACACAGCAAGAAACAAGCAGCATTAGCATTCTGTGGAGATTTTCTAGTAGATATTGCATCAGCCAGCGTATAGTGACATGTATCTCTTAATGGAAGTTTGTCTGGTTTTTTGTAAGAGACATAAAAGGATAATTTGGAGGAGATCTGATTGGGCAGCTGAAACTTGTGAGCCTCTCATTGTTTCCAGGTAGCAAAATAATATCAGAGGTTTGGGCCTGTGCATATTGTGGACCTCACCAGGGTTGATGCAATAGCCACTGTTTCATGAACATAAAACTCTGTACTCACATATTCAGCCGTATCGTCCGTTTCCCACTAACCCCCCCGCCAAAGTGAAGAGTGTGCAGGAGAGAGAAAAAAATAGCATTTTTTTTTTTTTAAGGAAAGAGGAAAACTAAAGTGGGGGAAATAGGATTGTGAGAGATTGGGGCTTTAGAGGTTTAGGATGGGCAGGCAGCAGAAATAGGTCACTAGTTTTGGGAGGTCAGAAAAAAGAAGCACTCCTTGAAGCTCAGAAGAGACAACTGAAACAAGCAAAGTGTTACAGGTCTGAGAGTATGTTACAGATAACTGAATGAAATAGAAACACAAGAATGGTTTTTGTATTAGACAGAAATCCCCTCATTTCTCATTCAGCATATGCATAGTTGCAGACCATGTAATTTGGGTTACCAGAGCTCAGAAAATAAACAATTTAATGTGATGCTGGTGTTATTTGGATTGAGCTGCCCATTTTCTTTTTATAAAGTGTGATCAATAGTTTCAACTGATTCTGATTCTAAATGGAGCTGCATACAATATTTTTTTCCATCATTATGTTATGACTTTCAGGATTCAGGGTCCACAGTATCTAGAAGATTACAACTGGGCATAGGAAACACAACTTACCAAGATTTCGCTACAACTGTGTCAAAGGATTTGCAAAACAAATAAATGTTTGTTTGTTGATTCATTTAAAAAAACAAAAACAAAATAAAATTTTTCTTTGGTTTCTTGAAGCAAGTACACACATTTGTTTTTATTTCGACTATTGAAGGAGAGCATTTATTCCTAATAGAAATTGTGCATTTATTCCCTTCACAATAGAAAAAGTAGGAAAAGATAAGGGAAGATTTGATTACTGCTCTTGTGGGTTGGGGAGAAAAATAATATATTACAGCAGCAAGAAATGTAATCAAAGAGGTAAACATCCCCAATATTGCTCCACACACTCAAATGATTTCTATAAAACCAAAACTGCTTATAAAAAAATATGCAATGATCAAAGTCTGTTTGGGGGATTTCTAATTTCTGCATAGATTTCTCTCAGGTATTTTATCCAATTCTAATTTCTTTCGCAACATTTTTAGCCTACCTTCTGATGGTTATAATGAATCATTTAAAGTCAGAGGAAAGAATCCAATGCCAGGTGTGTGTGAGACAATTCCTTATATAACAATATGGTACCAATATCAAATAAATGTAAAACAAATGACAACCCAGTACTGGGTGTTCACATTTTGGTGTGGTAAATATACCTGCATATTAATGAATAAATGAATTAACATATACTTTGTGGGAATTTACGTTCTAAAGAGAAAATAATGTATTGTTGGTTATACCTGGGCATCAGCAAGCATGACATCCTTGATGAGAGGCAGGCCACGTGATTCGCCATTTTCAACACGTACATAGTGAACTTGGTAGCCACGAATTTGACCATTTTGTTTTCCAGGGGTCACAGAACGCCACATCACTTTCAGTGCTGTGGAATTGAGAACCTCCACCTCCACCCTCCTTGGTGCAGCTCCAGGAACTAGAAATACAAAGCAGTTTAAACACAAAAATCAGAATATAAACATGCAATATTTTCTTTGACAAACGTTTTGCACAACTATAAAAAAAAAATTCAATAAATTAAAAATACTAATATTAAAGACACATTTCAAAACAATATACATAAAATATGGCCTATTTCTCAAATATACCTTCACGACTTACTCCTGTCACCTCCACCCTTTCAATAGGTCTCTTTGTGGTGGGCAGCCTTGCCATTTATTCATAATGACCGACCTTTTTGGCAGGCCTTGAATCCAGGCCACTTCAGGTGGCAAGGAATATCGTTTTCTGAGATGAATGTGCCATGCATAGAACCCTCCTCTCAAACCGCTTCCACTTGCTTCTCCACAATCACTTGTGCGCTCCTTCATTCCCTAAATCACAACCCAACTAAACCCTCTATTTTGGTTCCTTCATAACAAGAGTTCTCATTTCTTTAACATTTGTTAAGTGTCATTATTAAAGCACCACTAAAAAAAAGTTTTGCTTTGCCTTTTATTGACTGCCAGAATAACAGTGGTATTTAAAAACACATATGCCAGACAAATGCAGAAACATCAGTATGATAGTATGAAGCTAATTCAGGTGAATCTATGTCACAGGTGCTGTGGTAAAATCAGTCATGCTAGGATTTTTCTAACATGCTAGAAAAATCCTACCATGTTAAGATTTTTCTTCTTTTGTCAGATTAACTTATTTTTAGCTTCTTTAAATGCTTGTTTTCATTCCATGCAACCACCTTGTGTTGTCAAATTGCAAAAGGTAGGTCTTCAGGGAGCAGGGAAATAATAAAAGTGTATCAAATGATAGGAAGTGAAAAGAATCAAAAATCAATTCAGGTACACAGTAGCTGCCCTTTCTTTCTGGAGATAGTGAAACAGGTATGTTTTTTTTCCAGTTAAACGGATGGATTAACACACCAAAAACTGTTTCAGCAGCCTGAGTGGCATATTTGAGATTGCTGCTAGTGTACATGCTAAAGATGGTTTAGTCTGTACCATTTTCCAATCCAAGCTTTTTTATTCTATGCTTATGCTTTTTACCACCAAGCATAAACATGTAATCTTGCATCATAGATTGATCAATTTTACAGTATCATAACATCAATAAGGTTGTTAGCTTAATAATATAATACCAATAACATTGTTACCTAACCTATATACAGGATAGGCAGACTTGTAGAAAAAAAAAATCTAAGGCAGTTTTTTTCATATCTGGGAGGCGGACATTAGGTAGATATGTGTCTCTGTGTGTATATAACCGTAGTTATTCATAAATTATTGTCAAGAAAGGGTCTAGGAGTATCAAAAATGAAGAAGATTTGGATAAGAAAGCCCAGAGTTGCAAAGATGCAGCATATTCATTCAACTTTTACTGTTTTTATTTTATTTTTTAATTTTTCTACACAACACTCAAACTGGATTTTTAGGTTTAGGTTGGTGAGGAACCACTTACTTTAAGAATTTTAATTTAAAAATTCTTAAAGTAAAAAATGTTAAGCCTTACTTTAAGAGTTAAAGTACTTAACAATCCCTGAACGCCCCAGTTCATTTCCCTGAATTGGAAATTCAGATTCCTGAGTACAAATGGTGAATTTAACACCTACTCTTATGACTTCCAATTTAGAAGCCAAAACAGTTTAACCTTATTTTAAGCTAACAGAGAAAAGTTCTGTCTCTTGATAAGGCCAGGTCTCCACATAAGAGACTCACGTACCATCTTCATCTGTCCGACAGATTAGGGGCTCACTCTCAGGGCCAGGCCCAATCTCAGTTGAGGCGGACACTGTGATTCGGTACTGGGTCCACTTCTCCAGTCTCTGCAGCAACACCCGCTCTTCGGTTGGCGGCACTGGCAGCTCCTCCAGGGGGTCTGTATCGTCACTGGCCCCTTCTGAAGGGCCCACCACTTGGTAGCGCACCCTATACCCCGTCAGATCACCATTCTGACTCTTCAGAGGTGGGGGGCGCCAACTTACCAAAAGGCTGGTGGAGCTGGTAGTGCTGCACTTAATTTCTTGAGGGGGAGCTGAGGGTTCTGGTGAGGTGGAAAGGACAGGAAGGAAGGGAGGAAGGGAGGTAAGGGGCGGTAGAGGACCAGGAGGATGGGGTAGGAAGAAGGGTGAAAAACGAAAAAATAAAAAGATGGTAGAGATAAAGAAAATGAAAAAAGGAAAATTTTAAACTCAAATAAAAAAACAACAGGAATAATTAAAATGAAACTGATCAACACAAAACACGAATATATAAAAATAAAAACAGGTACCAAGCAAATGCCAAATTAAAAGGTGAAAATGCACACCACCATATGGAAACATAATAATGAATCAAGACAGCTATGCTTGCCTGTTTTGGTGAAAATAAGATATATCTGTTACCAGTTTGGTACTTTTTCAAATCTAAAAAGTCTACCAGCTAAAATGTCATGACAAATTTAATAATTTTGAGTCTTTAGGATGACTAGCATTATTTTAAACAAGAATTGAAAAATTCACTTTATTTTTGTGATTGTTAGATAAAAAAATAAGTAGTTTAAAAAATTAAGTAGTTTAAAATTAAAGATTGAATCATTCCAATTTATCACACACAATTCCATGGTAAATCTTTGTGTCTGAAGTGCTTTTGGAAAACATGTTAAATAAAAAATGCCCTCTTTTAAAATTCTTAACATTTTTGTTTTTCCTGACCAAATAAGATTTATTTCAGCCCTTGTATCTTATTCTTTGTGCAGTTCTTTCCACCTTGATGTAGCAAATCTAGTTCATTATTACATTTTCTGACTGCAAAGTAATAAAAGCAAGATTAAATATGATTAGAGACAAGGACATACCAAACAAAACTTTAAATAAAAAAGTAAATGAAGAAATAAATATGTTTTCATCCAAAAATAAAGGACAATAAAGAAATAAGTTATGAAACCAAGGAGAGTAATGTGAAATTAGTTGGAACCAAAGTGACTCAAAAGAATCACAACAAATACTTTCCAAAAAATACAAGGTGTGAGTAAACATCAATAAACGAAAACAAAACCAGATGCGAGTAAAAAAAATAAAATAAAAACAGTATACCATGAACAGACAAACAAAAGTAAATTGCAAGCATTGTCTGCATCATACGTACCTGACTCCCAAAAATAAAATAAAAAAAATTTCAAGACTTTCTTACCAACAGCACCTGACTCTAGAGTGTGCTTACTCTAGAGTCAGGGAGAAGCAACCTTTTCCCATCCTGAGAGTATTATAAATTTTATGATCAAGTCTTGTTACAGTCATGGTAAACAGCTATTTGTATACACTGACAGTTGATTTGGACCCAGTTTTGGGAGAGCAGGAGGGAGAGAGTTGGCTCTGTGCTGTAGCCAGTGCTGTTTAATACTGCATTGTTGGGCCAGAGGGTCCACAACACTGAGAGAAGGGAAAGCCAGTGGGGAAAACTCATTATCAAGATTTTCTACGCTCATGAACTTGGCCAAGCACAGAAACATCCTTCCTTGTTGGTAATTTCCTCAAATAAATCCCATTTCATAGCCCTATGTCTAAGTATCTCTGAGAAACCTGCAACCATTTTGACAGTGCCAAGACACAAGACAATGTCATCAACAACATAAAAACTTCATATAATGGAATTTATAAAACTTTAATAAAATGTTGATATATACATATGTTGTTGTTCCTCCCCCCCCTCCCCTCCCTTGGTAAAAAGACACTGCTTGAGGACACAAAAATATAACAGGGCCACAGCTTTAGTTTTCAAACCCTTTTCTGTGTCCAATGGGCTTATTTACTTAAGGTCTTACTGGATTTTGAGCCATTCAGCTTCTTTCCTTTGCCCGTATTGTATTTGCAAACTCTCCCCCGTCAAGAATGATTGCTCCGTTCTCATTCTTTGTGGTGAAGAAACGGTCTATAATTCTGACAGGATGGAGGTTATCGCAGTGCACAGGCATCTCTATGCTTGATAACAATTTAAGACTGGATTGGGCGCATCCTTCATATCCCATGGAGGCCAATGGCAGGATTAAGGATAGTAGAAGTATGCAACCACAAAATAAATATTTTGGATAACGCTTCACTTGAAGTGCTTCAAAACTTTCATTTGAAGATATCAAGACAAGACAAACTGGTCTTGTCTGCAATTACTTCCTCCACTTCGACTTTAAAATATGATGTAGGAAGTTTTTTCACTACAAATTTCAAATTCAAAGTGAAAGAAAATTAGAGGATATTGAATATTCTTAACAAAAAACCTACAATGGTTATAACTCAATATTAATGTGAGGTATTAAAATAACACAAATTGCAAATGCTATTTCTATCACAGTCTAAGTACCATCTTTGTAAATGGACTGTGTCAGAAACCTCAAATGACATGATGTTCGTTCTTGTAGATCATTACGGAATTAATCCCAGAGATGCCAAATGGCCATGGTGTGGCTCACACAGATATTCCAATACATCTAAAAACCTTCTGCAATTACAGTAAGTGGGGGGAATAAACTGCTTGTTTGGTTAAATACAGAGGATTTAGAATCTGCCACTTTAATTTCAGAGATGGCTTCTGACTGGCTACTGGCAGAGTCTAGGTATAATCTAAATGTGTAACAAAGCCTGACAATCCAAGGCCTTGGCTCAGAGCTCATCGCAGAGCATGAAATTAATTCTGACTCTATGAAATGGGATTCTTATCTGCCATGTGGGAGCCCTGCAGCCCCTCAACAACCACTCCAGGGTCTATCTCAAGTATCCTCAGCATGTTTTAAAACAGGCAACAGTTGGAAACATCACCCTGCAAGCTTTCTGGTTGTGGACCCTCTTTTTGCCATGTCTGAACTGTCTCATAAACTCGTAACAACCTGGTCTGACAATGGTAGCATACCAAGTGAGGTCTTGCTTCTGAATGGGAGCCATTGTAAGAGAGAGCGTCTTGCTTATATAAAAACCTGCTACAATTTTGAAAAGTGAAAATAATTTTGCATCAGCCTCATTGAAGTAGGGAGAGTGCAGACAAATTCCAGAATTCTTATGTATTTTTTGCTCATCAAAGCTCCCATTACAAGCCTCAGGTAATGCTATTTGGACTGAGCATAACCTTCAATGTTTTATAAACAGGTTCTGCATAGAAAATAAAGGAAACACATCTGAAATATCATATTTTCTGTCTGTCTTTCAACTTTGTAGAATAGTGATTCAGTGTGCCAGATGCTGGAGGTCATGTTTGGGAAGGAATAACGACTTTATGTGCAAATTTTCAATAGTTTTTGTGTTCTTGATAAGTTTTTAGTTTTCAGGGATTTATTCCAGCAATTCTTCCATCAGATGTCATTAAGTTTCATATCCAACTGATTATTTAAATCAAGAAACATAGTTATAAAAAGGTAGAACTTGATAAGCTTCAGTCCTACTTTCGCATGTATGTGAAGGATGGCTTTTGGTAAAAAAAAAAAAAATCTTTTCAAATGTTTAATGTGTGAGTGTGAAACTACCAAATGAAAAAAAAAAAAAGATTTCTCGAACGTGGCACAAGTACCATTGATCGTACTTAGTGGGTATCAATATTTTCAGGGTAAATGTAAGCAAATTAATTACCATCTAGAGTTACTGAGCACCAACAATCAAGAAGGACTGACTTGTCTAAATTGTTCAAGAACAGTAATTTTTTATTCTCTCTAAAAAGGAGGTGTATTTGAGACATTTTGAGAACTGTTAATATGAACTGAAAAATACAGCTGTAAAGAAGGAAAAAGCTCTGGTCATAAGTTAGTTCTGTTCTATTTTATATCTTGGATCTGGGAAAAACATAAACCCCATCTTAGCTGGCTCCACACGGCACACTGAATCTCTAAACCACACAATGACTTACCTTTGAGCGTCCAAAAGATCAAGTAATTTTCAACAATAAACATTGCATTTGCCCGACTTAGTTTTTGACTTAGTGCTGAATAACCAGTGGGTGTAAGTGACTGCAGCAACTTTACAATTAATCTTCAATGTTCAGAAAAACGGCTTAAAACAAGTCATTAAACATCGGTGAGGCCCTGGATAAAATGATGTCAATAGAATGGATAAAAAAAGCAATCAAGGGTGCTTGTTTTAGTGTTATGACCAAGCTATAGAAAATAAAGGTAAGATAATGTGTCTGCATTTTCTATTATTTTTGTGGGCGAACTGTGCCACCACTGTTGAGGGAGACCAACGAGCACAGGACAATAAAAAGAAAGAAAATGAAGAGTCCTACATTTTATAAGTTGTACTTATGTCCTGTCATGTTTGTTCAAAAGCCCAATCAAGTAAGTGCGCGTTAGCTATTGTTGAAGTTATTCAAACCTGCGGTGGACTTGTGTTCATACAAGAGCCAAACAGAAATGAAAATGCAACTAGAAGATACAAAGAGATACATCAAATAAATAGTATTTCAAAATTAAGACCCCCGTGAATAGAGATAATTAAATAAATGGATATAACTCTGTTTACCAATAAATAAATAGAAAAATAAATAATTAAACCAAAAAGGAAGAGGGATTTTAGTGAGCAAAATGATGTCGAGGCATTGCAAGAACAGTTTCAGTTACAAACCACAAGTTAACATGTGACAAAGAGAGGGGCTAGACTGGAAGAGGGTGACAAAGAAAGAGGAAAAGGAGGAAGGGTGTATTCAATTCTGCTTGCAGTTTGCAAATGCAAAAACAGGCAAGAATATCACAAACAAACACTTTGACAGATGGGGATACGCACACTGTACTCAAGAAATGCCAAGACAGAAATGGGGATGGAGATATGTGGCTTTTCATGCAGAGGAGTCAAAGTTCATCAGTTCAGCAACAGCTGCTCAACAGCACCCCGAGTGGGCAGTAGTGAGTGTCACATGCAAGTGGAGTTCTTGGCAGTAACACTGCACTTTCTGTGCAGGAACAAAAAGAACTGTGAAGTGGTTGTTCCAAAGCCCCCACGCTCACATGTCGAGGCACAGCCAACAAGTTGCACTGGTAGGAACAGAAAATGTGTTATACAAAGTAGGCTCCCACCACCAATGCTCTCCTATGTCACTGCTGAAGGTACTCTGATTAACTCTCTCAAAATACATCAAAAATACTGCCAGTGTAGTAAAACAATGCAACCATTCATAAACAATACATTTTTTTCTGATATGTGTTTGATTAAATTACAATTTGACAGTCTTAAATGTATAAATAATATTAGCAATGAGGAATTTCATGTTCATTTCCATCTGTGAATAAACAAAAATAGTGTGCTGAGTGTACCGTTTAAACCTCAGCAGAGTTAATTAAATACCTTATTACTTCAACAGCAGTTATTAAGATTTATTACTGTACTATTGTTTATTAAATTAAACTGTTTTCATTCAAGTGTTCATAGTGTGTTGATGATTCATTGGTAGAGCATCGGTATTAAACTCAATTTTCAGTTTGTGCCACATCAAGTTTATGAATATTCTTAAAGGGCTGGTTGTGCCAGAATGTATTGGTGAAAACCATTAACATTAACATTAATAAATAGCTGTGTCTGCATTCAATAAGGCACTTCTTAAAATTAAGTAACATTCACACTGACCAGCTGCTTGAGGATTTTCTGAATGTTTTTGTAATTTTTTGCAATTGAAATCAATGATTTTGAGGAGCTAATTTAGAAATATTTGAAAGACATTTTTGCAATATTCGTACTTGAGAAATCTGACTTTTTGATACTTGCTATATCAATGACAAACTACCATCAATTAAAGGTGGGCCAGAAGTGTAGTAGATGTAAAACATACTGCAGTGTGAGGTAGCATCACTTTAATATGTTTTTAAATACTCAGGATTATGCATTAGTGCAAAAACGTGTAGGGAGTCTGCTGATTTAGTGTGAATTTGCCATAGCAAAAAGACTTGAGGAACTGATGCAATTTGATTGTATAAAAATAAAAGCTATTTTAATTTGATTAATAAAATAATATGTAAGCAAACAGTTGCTCTATTTATGTGGCCTTCTAGACCCCCATGGGTCTAGAGGGCCACATAAGAAGCTCTGACAGGCCAGAGTAGTCCTCGAGTTGTGCCTCGAGTTTGACACATGTAGGTCAAAGGAATCTTATATCAACTTTCCTAGTTAACTTTGTCTAAATTTACATCCTCATTTTGCATCGATGCTTTAAAATGCTGCCTTTTGTCTTTTTTGCTACATTATTTCACTACAAGTAGCTATTCTCCAATTATTTTTATTTTGATGAAAGCACCTGCCACTCAAAATATAATTAAAGATCTATGTCTATGATATGCAGAAGACAAAATTGTGTTTTTAAAGGTCATTACATCCATCAGTACTCCATCGTCACATTACTTGCCTCAATCAGAAATTGCTAGAATAAATAATGCTCTATTTTTTTTTCCAACAACAAGATTTAAGTCTCAAATATGTGTACAGTTCATATGAGAGCCTTGGTGGTTTTTCAGGAGAACTAGCATTTTTTGTGTCATGTGGAATGTGCACTTGCTGTCTACAAAGGAAAGGAAAACATCAACAAAAGTGAAAGAAAATACATTAAAGAAAAGAACTACTGAAATTATCCATCCACAACATCTTATGTTATCCATGGCTGAGTACACATACATTTGCGCAGTGAAAAAAAAAAGGCAAATAAAGTAAGCTTGTGAACTAGAGAGGCATTTTGACTAACAAGTGATTAACCAAACCAAGTTTTTAATTTTATTTTTCCAATGAGATAGAGGATTATTGCAACCTGGAACTTTAGAAGTTTGGAAGAGCCCTATGAAAAGAGGAAGATCAGACAAATTAAATGCACTGAGGTGTAAAAAATCACTAACTTGGGGTTTCAGGGTGGAGGAATTGGTTGAAGTACCATAAAAAACGAAAGGAGGAAAATACTGCATGGAATGCTAATCATAGCTGTACTTGAACAAAACATTTTCCCTTTTCCCATTCTGAATGGATTACAGAGTGCCAACAGCAGCAAAAAATACAATCTTAATTCTTTATTTGATTTTATTATAAATGGCTGTTGAACAAAGAATTGTGTCATCAGTGCCATTTTCATTAACATGGGTATTTTATATTTCCAGGCACATAGTGCCAAATTTAAAGCAAAATGAAGTAATTTTAACTTTGGCTGTTCTACCAATTTTATATATAACAAACACCCATAGGGAACACCTCCCCTCTAATGTTTTATTATTTGTAAACAATTATTTTGGTGTTTGCTAAAACCACCACACACACTATATATATATATATATATATATATATATATATATATATATATATATATATATATATATATATATACATTTACAATATATACATATAAAATTTAAAGTTAAGCAATATCTTGCTTGAGTGTTTGAAATGAAAGTGTTGAGAAAAACAAATCTGTCTAAAAAAACCCTCGTTTCTGAGTAAAATTCCTGTGGACAAATTGCTATTTAAAAGTTCCCCTTAGCCTCTTCAACTGCAGTAGTTCATAAAGTAAACATTTATTAGAATAATACAAGCCTGACAGAGTTTTTAAAAATTTCAAATTACATTTCATACATTTGTAAAATGTATGAAAATATACATTTGTTCCCAGTAGACATTTTAAACCACAAATAAGTAGCCTCAGTAAGTTTCAAATTAAGTCACTGTTAAACACATAACTGGCTAGAAGGCCAGTGATGTTAGAGAAAAAATTGCAAGCTTCAGTCAAAAGAGCAGGAAAAAGAACCAACAAATCAAAATCACTTTTGTTTCTGTCCATAAAGCAAATAAGATCATATTTTAGTTTTGTAAGAGGAGTTTCTTTTGTTAGCAAACCTGAAACAAAAACAGGAGAATATCAATAAAAGGCTACATACTGGCTTGTAAGGTCCTCTCAGAAATTTCATTTGTGAATGCCCCAATGCCTTTGTTAGAGACGGCCGCCAGGGAGAAGCGGTACTTTGTATTGGGACGAAGACTTTCCACAACATATGATTTTGTGGGTCCAAATGTTTTCTTCATCTGTCAATCCAAATACAACAGTTTAAAATGGTGAACTAAAAAACAATTGTTGAAATAAACTTTTAGAGCTTTTGTAGTGACAGAAAATCAGAACACTTACCTGGGTGTCGGAATCGCCTTCCTTATAACGAAGTTCATAATTTATAATTCCTTCTTTCTCATATGCAGGTTCCCAGGTCAGCTCAATGCTAGTGTCTGACACAGCACCGACTTGGAATTTGGATGGTTGACCTGGAACTGGACACAACACCAGAGGATATTGCAATAATTCACAGTCCAGACAATACAATTTGAAAGGGTTAAATCTGGATGACCAGTATGTTGGCTTCTACACCATTTTATTAAGAGAATCTAGTTCCAACAGCTCCAACAGCACTATTACATTCTTAGTAATTTTTCATATCCTTACCTCCCTGTAATACTTTGACCTGAATTGGGGCTGAAAAAGGTCCATCACCAACAGATGTGAATGCAAGGACTTTGATTGTGTATGTTTCTTGAGGAACTAGGCTCTGAATGGTGGTGATGAGACTGTCCTGGACATTATGGATTTGCCAGAGGCTCATGGGCTGCGAATCATCCATAGTGTAGTAAACTCTGTATCCCTTGATCTGCCCATTTGGCTCCTCAGGTTCCTCCCACTGCACCATCATGGTATTTTGAGGAAGAATTTGGGCCTTAATGTTTCTTGGTGGACTGGCGGGAGCTTGCTCACCAGTTCGAGTTTCAACTGGCTCACTGGGTGGACCTTGTCCAATTGAGTTCACCGCTGAGACACGTATTTCATACTCTGTGTTTGGGTAGAGGCCACCAATGCTGTAACGTGTAGTGGTGATGCTATCCACTGTTTCATACTTGCTGTCTGGGGATCTGGCTCTATACTGTATGATGTAGTATGTCACTGGATCTGGGTTTCCCGAGTCCCACGTAATGGTCACACTAGTGGCTGTGGTTTCGGTAACCACAGGGGTACCTGGAGGCTTAGGGAGAGCTGTTGTGGCAACACAGAAGAAAAAAGAGAAGATATTAATAAGTCTGAACAAAAAAACAAAGCTCGAGATAGTTTTTTTTCAACTGGAAGCGAAATGTTCTATGAATGTCATAGAGCCTTCAAAAATAGTCATCTCTTACATTTTACGGTGATCTGTGCAACGGCTTCAATGATGCCAAGGCTGCTCATGGCCACACAGGTGTAGTTGGCTGACTCACGGACACTGCTCAGTTCAAGAACATTTCTGCCAACTGGCATCTCGTCGTCTGGCGTTAAGTCCTCAGCGTTCAGCATCCACTTGACATAAGGCATGGGCGATCCCACTGCCACGCAAGTTATGTTCACACTGCCACCTGGCATTATTTCTTTACTTTCTGGAAGAATGGAGAAGCGAGGAGGTACCCGCCGGACTGCGAGAAGGCATGAGGAAGGAGAAAGGATGACAAAAGAGGGCAAGGAGTCAAAAAGGAGAGAAAAAGGAGAGGTAACAAGAGAGGCAGATGAAAATGGATCCTTCTCAGGTATACATGTGACACAAAAGGTTCAACATGGTAAATGTGAACTCAAACAAAAAATTAAATAAAACTAGACTTTTGAAAACATAAAAAATAACAAATAATGGCAAAGAACTAAACTAATAGAAATGCTTCAACAACAATATAGATTAACAGTTAAGCAACGATTCATAGCAACAAGGTTCCAATGACCAATATTTGACCCATCACAGCACAATTAAAGACACAAAAATCTATTACGAGTTTCTCATCTTTGGGGGCTGAACTACTAACACGTGGACAACTGAGGCACTACCTGATCGCAAAGTAGAAGAGTAATGTAGTAGTAAAGGCCATGTGATAATTCTATCACATAAGCCCGACCGGGCAACCTGGAACTTCCTGTCCTCTCAGACACACATGCCAAACAGGAAGTAGGCCGTTGAAGGCTTCTCCCACAGCACAGGAAGTGTAAGGTTACTGAACTATTGACCATCTCTGGAAGGTCTAACCAAATTCTAGCACACATTTGCACTTAACACCTTGCTCTACTTTCAGATCATCTTAAAGATGAGAAACTTTAATCAGATTTTTGTGGTTTAGGGTAGATCCACTGGACAAAGCCTTATTAAGATCTGACACGGTTCCATTGATAGATGCAGCTATCAGTTTCACAGACAGCATGCATAAATAGATCGAGGTAAATCAAGGAGTAAATGATAACAAAAGTAGATATAAAACTTGAGATAAAATGCATTGAGGAATATAACTGAAGGGTCGCTAGCATGCCCAGACAAAAGACGATTGGAGAGGAAAAATAGCACAAGATAGAAGAAATAACTTTTGAGGAAAGTATAGAAGGAGAAAGAACAGTGCAGTAAGGAGTGACAGAGAAAGAAATAGAGGAGGAAGGGGTGGAGGAAGGGTAAAGGGGGGACAGGGAGTAACCCGTTTTACTGCTGTGTAAACTTTGCTTTTCTTCAGCTAATGTGACAAAATGTGATGATGGCACATTGTCACATCGCAGTCCCGGTAACACAAAATAAGTATCAAGGAACAAGGTGTGTGCCTAGGAGTACACAGAAAAAAAGAGCTGTAGCCATTGAAGGTAGGAAGCTAACTACTACACAGTGTAGGAGTAAAGAAACAGAACTGGATCAAGAGTGAATAGAAGTTCGGAGAATAGTAAGGAGAGATGGAGGAAAAGAGAAATGAATACCGTCAACGAGAGGAAGACAGGTAGAACCTCTAAAGTTATGGAAAGGGACTGGATTGAAGAGGGAGGATAATAAACTTGAGATTCAGACGAAGGATGTGACAGGTATAGTGTACTGTGTGTGTGTTTGTATCTGTATAGATGCATATACTTTTTGCATTGGCATAGGCATGGATGTGCGTGTGTACAGTATGCAAGAGCAATAGAGTGAAAGAGCATGATTCTGCAAAAAAGAAACAGAGAGGCATCTCAGCAAGCATTTAACATTTGGTGACATGGAGGAATTTGCAGTTACCCTAATGTTTTCTTCAACCATTTTACATATTTGAGTGGAAAATCATAGGAAAGCTATGTGCAGGAAAGTCAAGATTTTACAAATACACAGCAGACTAAAATAAATAAAATATTTAGATTCAATGTCAAAATGTTTGTTGAGATGCAAAGGTCAAAGGAGAGAAGGAAAGTAGTGAAGACACAGAAGACAACATAATGAAACATATGTGAAAAATGACTTTAGAGACGCAGAAAACAAAGGAAGAGAGACAAGACGCAAGGCAGAAATAAAAAAAACAGACTCAAGCAGCAAGACAACGAACAAGACAAAGGCAAATGGATTGACACGCAGACATACTGTACAATACGCAACAAGGGAAAGGAAGGGATCGGGTTGTCAGAAAAGGGGGGAGAAGGAGAAGGAGGATATAAGTGGGGGATAGAATAAGTAACTGATTATAAATAAAAAAGAACAAGAAAAGATCATGGCTCAAAGTTGGTTTGGAGATCTCACACACTGGGGCTTAAAATCAAGAATCAGGTACATGTTCCTTCACCACCACCTTAAACATTGCTTTTGTGTACAAGTGGAAGTTAAATGTTTAGGACAGGTGGGCATAAGGAAGGACAAAACAGGGCAATGGGAGTGATTGAAGGAAAAACTGAAAGGGGCCCTTAAAGTAAAATCAGATTTAAAAACAAACCGTGTCGATCCAAATGGGATTCATATGATCGTTGCATGGGAAAAGCTAATTTATCCACAAAACTAAGGCAGAATTATTATATAAACAAACTCAGAGGGAGTTTCTTTTAGCTGATTTGTACATGTAAAATCAGTATAAAACACTGATGGATACTTTCAATTACAGAGTGAGGGACACTCAAATGGGGAACACGGCTGGTGTTGGGGTTTTGAAATGTCTCTAATCTACTCTATATGCATTCTCTGTTCTATCCACTCCTAATGTCAATTACTTTGTTACTCTGGATGTAACATGACCTGACCTTGAGGGCAAAAAGTTCATAGCTGACCTTTGAAAAAGGCTGGTTTGTGCTATGAAAAATGACATGCAGTAAAAATGCACCAAGAAAAATGGACACTTGCAAATCCTCAAAAATACTGTTTTCCAAAAAAAAAAAAGTTGCTAGCCAAAACTATGTATTTGGTTGAGATATTTTCATTATTTCTGACAAGAAAAGGCAGAAAATCAACCCCTTAAGGGTGGAAAAAAATAATTCTCTGCATTATAATTTGATAAAGCATACCTAACTAACCAATAAAAGTGATACGGCAGCCCATTCCTCACACAGACATGCATGGGTGTGGCTATGGCATGAGTGACATAGAACGGTGCACCCTCATACACTTGGGCGAACACCAGAGAACCAAAACAATCCAAAAAATTGTCACTCAAGCCCATCCAAGCATGCCATTTAAGACTGATTATAGCATTGCTCGAGACACACAGACTCACAAAATAAAATCAAATGAAAGGAAACAAACAAAATTGAACAAATCCACAAATAGAACTACATTCGAACAGCATAGACAGTACCAGAGTGCAGCTGTGTTCACAGAGAGGTTTGCATCAATACTATTAGATGTTTTTAAGATTCTATTTGTCTCAGGAATTTATCTTCCAATTCAAAATGTCTGTGGTAACTGAACATGTCAAACATGAGTGTTTTGGGGAAACATTCAATCAAAGTTTATCTCAGGGTGATCTTCTCTCCCTGGGGCTCAGATCAGCCAATGGACCGGGAGCTGAAATGGTTAAGTGAATGAGGTTTCCCCACAGGAAGATATCTCTAGTCCCCTTTAAGAAACTATAATGTCAAGAGCTATGTGGAAACTCATCCTAAATCAGCTAATAACTTTAGCAATTGAAGAATCTGACAAGTTAAAATTTAAAACCGGTTTAAGCTTTTTTATTTTTTTATTTATTATTTTATTTAAGGACATTCTGGTACAAAGAAACAAAACAAAGAAGAGTCATATGCAATTTTTAAACCCAACACGAGGACAAATGGAACGAGAGTCTACTTCTATAGTAATGTAAAACAATGCATTTACTAGAACACTAAGGTGTCATAGAAATAAGAATGGTGTGAAAACTACTATTACATAATTAAGTCGTTTTAATATTTTCGCTTTTAGAACAAATAAAGAAAAGGCATTTTAGGAATCACAAAGCTATATTGTCTGTTTAAAAGTGAAGAAAAAAACCCAACAACTCAAATATCTAACTGTCTTTTTGATAAGCAACCAGAATATAATTTTCCTTTCAAAACAATGTAATCCAGCCTCTAATCTCAACCACATAAATGTATCTGTTTTTGATGTATATTCTTGGGCCCATTACAGTGCCACATACAGGGCTGTCGTTTGGTGTGTTTGTGTGGAAAAACACATTTCTTGAAACAACAGTGTTCTTAAGGATGTTTTTAGAAACTATAGATAAAAAATCATCTGATAAAACTTTTTGTTTTGTTTTGTTAAGGTCCCTAATTAAAAGCCCAACTATATAATATACTTTGCACATCATTATCCATCATTAGATTTTAAATGCAAATTTACTTTTAAATGTAAAATTTCCTCGCTGGCTCATGTTAATGAGTCACCATCTTTTAAAAGTTTTGAAAGTTACGAGTACATGCTCAGCTGAACTTTACATCAATATGCAGTCTGTTATTTAATGTGCAAATAAAACTCTCACTTTTAATACCTTTAAAATGCACCGCCATTCCAACAAAAAATAATAAAGAAAGAATCCCAATTGCATGGACACGCTCCTCATTCACAGAGACCAGAGCCAGCCGGCCCATTTGGAATTGAGAAAAAAGAAAACAAACATCCACATTTTATGTGGCCCAATAACAATATGTAGTCTTATTTCAAGCCCCAATGTGGAGAGAAAGACAAGAAGCCATACACTGGACGAGGTGAGAAGCAGTCGAGAGAGAATGCCAGAGTATTGCACTAACTAAGTGGGAGGTGTTGTGGAGGGATTTGTGTTGAAAAACAGAGGTCAGAAGGTGGACATTATTGGCTATTTTTGTGAGGCAGATTTTGTTGCCCCAAAATGAAGGGGGAAGCCAAAATAATGTGCAGCCTTTAGTGTCACCTTGAAGCTGAGATTACACCCTCTTACTGCCTGAGGACACAGGCACAGTATGAAGATCCTTTAGTCACACTTGCAGGGTGAGTCCTACAGCATTTACATTTAAGCTGCAGGGGTTGGCCTGTATTAACATTTCTTTGCTGCACCACTGCTAAACTCTCCCTATGGGTGGCTCATCAAAATGGAAATTATTACCTAAAGGAAACTAACAGGAATCACGGCATGGGTATCTAATAATAAAAAGGGATTTCAGAGTGTTAACTATTGCTGTTGTCTTACAGGTACATGACAAGCAGCGAAGCTATACTGCAAGAACATTCCCCCATGTCTATGATAATTCCAGTGCATGCCAAGCTAGTTAGTAAGTTAATTAGTGAGTTTATTAGTGAAGAAGGTAATGGGCCGTATGTTTTGTGTGGTGAATACAGGCACTTCAATGCAAATGAGAATTTTTTGGGCTGTGTAAGGCAAACATCTAATAGAGATGGCTAGAATTTGCTTTGGCCAGTGAGAACATAAGGTGTAATCTAGCTTTCTTTCCCAACATTACATACGGATGCAGAGCAGGACATGCAAGCATTTTCACAAACAAGCAAATATCATAGTAGAAGGGAGAGCATGCACATGCATAACAGCACAGTCTTTCTGCATCAGTGTTTCTTTGTTGAACTGGGTTTAGAATTCTACAACTAGATTGTGTTGAAAAAAAAAAATCATCAAAATATGCCATATGAAAATATTCAATTTAAACATACCTTTGAGGTCCAGTTTAGCAAATCTTACATAATTTACTTTGGTATCCTCAGTCAAATTTATGGAAAGTAAGCCTTCATACAGCAGCTGCCTTGTGTTAATGAGGGCTAATTTATCTTGATTCATCAACTAGTTTTCAAAGAAAAGTTTAAAAAAAGACAGTGTCAATAGCTAAAACTCTTATTTCCTTTCCAAAAATGGTATATTATATACTCAGACAAGTTGAGTTGAAAATGTAATAAGTCAACTCACTACAGCAACTGAGTAATCAGTAGAAATCTAATCTGTTTGCATCAATCCCTTATGGATTTTGATCATTTTTCTGATGTTTAAGATCTACAATGTGCATGTTAAAAATACTGTTTACTTACATGAACTTAAAAAAATAATACAAATAACAATATAACTGATTAAAGTGTAATTATTTGTATTGACAATGAGAATGGCAGCTGCCAATCAACAGAAACGAATCACATCAACTAAAAAATACAAATATGTATATATGCATCTTCTGCTTGTTTGGCTGCACTAAATGCAATTCTGAGGTCATTTTATTGTTATTGATTTGCACAATATTGCAAATGGCATCTCTTAATGGCTCCCTAAAATCAACATGCAACCCAATCAGGTCTAATCTTTTTGGTAATGGATCACTCCAAAGCAGATGACAGGAACACTGGCTGCATACACATTTATAATTTCATTCGGCATTTGCAGTTGCACTCCGAGTATCAAGAAGCCGAGCAATATCAGGTTGAAAAAGGAACAATTTTTTTTTAAACAAATTAATGAACTACAAAAAATGACATAGTAAACAAAAACAAAAAAACAGAAACAGAATCATAAAAAAACCACACACACACAACATCGTCATCACAACTCAAAAATGTACTAAAACAAAAGAAGCTAAAAATAGGGTTGTCAGGAACAAAAAATAGTTTTGGAAAACCCAAGAAAGACAGGAAAAAACAAAACAAAACACAGAGAATGCAAAAAGAAGAAGAAGAAAAAAACATTGGGGCCGAAGGGGTTTTTGGACAGGCATGCAAGCGCAGTTACATTCTCCCATCATGCAACAGGTGCTGCTATTTTCATGTGCTGGGTTTCCATAACAACACATGCAACTAAAGCTTTTAGGTGCAGAAGCAATACCAAAGGATGCAAAACGTGAAAAGGCCCCACAATGCAAACATAAAATTAAATAAACAAGACCCGACCTAATCGGGGTTTGATTTCATCTTTTATTTGGAAATAAAAAAAATATGGTCTTTTAAAATTATTTAGCAGTGTGGTTTAACTGTTTGTTGTTGTTTTTTTTTTTCAGATTTAGTATATAATCGAGCTCTGCAAAAGGTAAATAACAGCTAAAATTTGTCAAACATGTTGATTTTTCTTTTCAAATGTGGGTTAAAAAAAGTAAAAAAGAAAAAACACACCAACCTTCTCGAAGCTCTGAGGGATGTAAAGGGGTTGATGCAGAACACAATGACATGAGGAGAAGAGAAAAATAGGGGAAACACAGAGAGAGTAAAAAAAGCCACCTCAAGGTGTTTAGCTGCAGCTACATGTCCCTTTCCTTCTTTTTTTTCCCCCTTACCCCTGTCCCTGTCATCAGTGACACCCGTCTTCAAAGCACACTTGCCTGCCCTCCCCTTTAAATAAACTTTGAACCAAAACAATCAGATTCACCCCAGTGGTCGCTCTGCTGCCTGCTAAGGAAAAAGGATTGGGGCGCCACTGGAGTCAATTCAAGCGTACCATACTCATAATTCAAAATTTCACAAGCTTCTTATGGCCACAATGAGAGGCTCATGAGGGTGGCCACATTTTATTTAGTTAGAGAAGGAAATGAAATAAAGAGAAAATAAAGAAAACAAAAACAAATGAGAGATTGAAAAAAACAAATAAATTTAAAAAAGACAATTCGGGGGGAAATTAGCAGCTGCAGTTCAAGGCTGGTAAGAAAAATATTATTCTACGAAGCCAATCAGCAAACACTGTCATTATGGTTGATGTTTGGGAAGGAGTCTCATTTGCTTCAGTACCCACATGGCTCATTTTCAGGGTTTCTCTCTCGTCCTTACAATTATCCTTCCACACAGCTGCTAATCTCAAGTGCATTTTGCTTCGTGAACAAAACATAGTCAACATCAAGTATCAGAATTGATTGACAAAAGTTAACTGAAAACAAACAAAGGCTGACACCATCACAGCATAAGGAACAGGTGTGTTACATAGTGTGAATGCACTGGAGTAATTATGAATCTAGAGTACTTTTTTAAAAGCATGCTCATGGAGCCAGTGTTTGTGATAATATCGGATGTGTATTTATTTCAAGGAATGTGTGTATGATTTAATGTAAAATAGTTGCAAAATGTTAAAAATTATTTTTTACGTAGATGTTAATGATTTCTGTTGAGAACATTTGGGTGAAAAAAAAAGACGACTAGCTAGTGGGCGTGGAGGGCTTTGAGATGGGGTTTACTATCAGGGCACGATACAGTTAATGGGAGGCCTGAACTGGTTTTCTGTTGTGGTGGCCAGTCAAGGAGGATGTAGAAAATATCTCAACAGAAAGAGGCTCACAAATGATGATGTTTGAACTCTGTTTGAGATTGTTATTTAGTATTTAACTGAAGGACTGCTTTAGTAGTCTGATGACAAATGCTTTACAATAATTTCAATTTCATGAAAACAAAAAGAGAGAAGGGGAGTGTCTTTTGTATTCTCAAAAATATAGCATAACGCTCTTTGCTCACCTAAAATAATCTGTTGCGGCAGTGATCATGCAAGGACCACCACTGCAGACTGCTAATTGACACTGCTTGCTGAATCACATTTGTATCAGCTCGTGCCTCTGCTAGATAAATGCTGATAGTCTTGAACAACCATTTTCTTTTTACCTTCAGCTCCCTGTAGTAGAATTTCTCCTCTCCACGCTTCTATTTCACTGAGTCTGATGATAGCAATAATAATGAAAAAGCAGCTCCCCGACCCATTTTATAATGTTGGAGTAGTGAATTATTTATTGGGAACAAAGTTATTTGGTACACAGCAGAGGGAACAAACCGAGTAGATACCGAGGCATCTTTATTTAATATGCACAATATTAATAATACATGCTGAAAATGCATCTGCTTCAATTTATTAAAGCTCCCTCAACAGGGATTCATTGTCATTTAGCATTAGTGGTTGAGGACAGGCTTTTGTCTTTATAGTCTGTTTCCGATGAAACTGTTCCCTCTGAATTGTTTTTTGTTATATATATGTATATCTTCATTTTGCAGGAACATTCTTACCAAAATAAGTACAAACTGTAAAGGCCTTTAAAGATAGTACACAAAAGAAAAACTGGGAAACCCTCTAAGTTTATGCTCTAGTTCAGCATGAGGAAAAAATACAGGAAGTGTAGAATTTATGGTCAATTTGACAAATGAGCTGTGTGTAAAATACAGTGCTTTTTCACTTTGTTATAACACAAATACTTTTGTTTTCCTCCCCCAAAACTGGAAAAGGCAAGAAGGGGTGAATGATTTTGATTGGTGGGCAACATTACCTAGCCAATCAATCAAAATCAACACTTACCGTTGTGCTCCGTTACCTGTAAAACACTCATCAAATGAAAAAACAAAAATAACAAAACCAAAAATATATATTTTCAGTGTGTTTTTAGGTGTCAACTTGAGATGTAGTGGGGAAACATTTGATTGGGCACACAGTTAACAGGTCAAAGGTCTTTGGCAACTGATAATGTGAAGACATACGGCTTGTTGGACTATACATTTCCTTCCGAGTGAGTAGGGGAGGGCATTGAAAGACAAAATGGAGCATCATAACAGAGAAGAACATTAGTTGGTCAATTATAGATTTACATTTGGAAGTTTCAGTACATTAAAACAATTACGGGAAGGCATTGATATAAATGGTAGAAGATTTAAATTCTTTTGATATTAATTTTGCAAAACATCTTGTGCATACACTTGTAGATTAAAATGGAGTTTAATGGAACCAATTATAGTACTTTACGCTCAAGATGAGCTGTATGGTGAAGACATTTTATTTAGACAAAGTATATTTTATTTATTTATTTCTTGTCACTTTTTTTTTTTTTTTTTTGCCTGGCTCAGCAGTCTGGTTGTTCCCTACCTCGCACATAAAGATTAGCGGGGGACGAGTAGCGTACGCCTTCCTCATTAGACGCCACGCACTCGTACTTCCCCTGGTCCAACTCCTCACTGTTCTCAATCTGCAGGGCACCTGGGGAAAGAGAACATCCGACAAAGAAAAGGTGGGAAGGGGGAGAAACATGGAGAAAAGAGAGAAAGAAAGCAGAAAACATATGATTGGTCTATCTAACACAAACAAATCAAACCACCGGGGATCACTTAAATTTCACACGGTCATTTCAAAAACAGTCTCTCTCTGCAGCAACGCTGACACAGGCTAGCATGGCTAACTCAGCTGCATTCCAGCATCAGTCAGTCATTTGTTGACAAAAGCTAAATAAATCAAAATCTGAACTGAATCAGTCATTTTGGATTTGCAGCAATGTTTAAATCTTTAGCAAAAAGGAGCTACAAAGTAAAAAAAAATATATATATATATAAAAAAAATTGTTATGAAATGTAAAGAAGAAAAGTATAAAGGTAACCTTGTAAGTTAAGTAATTATCTGCAGAAGAAACTAATTGATCTTAATCTATAATTTTAAGTAATTATGGCCCCAGGGGGTTGAATACAGATCCATGCCACACTATGACAGTTTTTTTTTTCTTTTTTTCCTTTTTCTTTTTTGCGAAGGGGTTTTCAGGGTATGTCTCGTCCCACTTTGCAAATTTAATGAGTGAAATGTTTTCCCACCTTCCCACTCCTTTGAAAAGTAAGTTCAGTTCAAATGAATGAATAGATTTTTTGTTGTTTTTGGATTTCACATTTTGCTACATATATTCAGTTGAATTTAGGTTCAGACTTTCACTGAGTTATTCTAAAACTGCAATATCATTTGATCTCAACATTCTGTTGTGACTCTGCCTTCAAGTTTAGGCTTGTCTTGCAGGAACATGACCTTCAGTCCTGGTCTCTAGTCTTTTGCAGTCCTTAACATTTCTTCTTCTGGAATTAACTTGATTTTAGCTCCATCCATCATACAAGCAACTCTGACTAACTTACCAACTCAAAACCTCAAGGAGTACAAGTGTATTTGAGAGGCACACTACAACTCGGTCTACTCTTTACTCATTTGGTCACTGTTTATGTTTTATCTCAAAAGATATTTTTGGTTGGAGTTAACAGCTTGTGTGGAAGTCAAGACAACCTCAGCGCTCATCTGCAACATGGGAAAAGGTAGCAGGGAACAAAAGAGGGAGGTGAAACACCAGAATCATTCCTCGTTAGAGTGTTGTTGACGGCACTTCCTGATGATATCATTAGGGCCTCTGGCTGGCTCAGCAGACAGATTGTAGCCTGGGATTCTCTGACAAACACAACACCACCATCGCTCGTTAACGTTTAGCCAAGAAGCATCAATATGCCAGCAGCTGCCCCGAAAGCTTTGTAATATACTATAACGCTCTCCATCACATCTGCAAGTGAACACAATGTTGTACAAGGCCACCACTCTGAAACAGTGTTCAAATAACACGTTTCACCTCATCCACAAATTAGACAATCGATCCTGGTTAATTATAAAGATTAGTCACGCTTTCAGTCCGTTCGCCGCCTAATAGAGAAAAGAGTATTTTAGACCTTGAGGTGTGAGCAAATATATTTACCAATTTAAAAGGAGAACAGACCTGAAGGTACAACAATTGATAGTGTTTCATTTTTTGGTTTTCTTTTACTTTCTCTTCATTTTGCTTTACTGCTCAGATCACCTTATCACTCAGAGGTCTCTGTTCCTGGCATGTATCTCGAGAACCAAATGAAAAAAGAAATCTGCCTGCAGAGTGCAGGTGGTACAGTTTTTTTTTTTTTCTTTTGCTCTGGCTTTATGTGAGCATCTGACTTTGATCTGTTTGATGTGCACTTGGAACAGCAAATGCCAGTGTGGTGGCAGGTGGATTGGAATGTGCTCAGAAGCTGAGACCACAGAGTGAGAAACGTATGAAGTTCAACTCCAGGTGGACAGATCCAGAAACCTCTGCCAGCAGCTTGTCAGACAGGCTTCCTCCAGCTGAATTCTAAATATTTTGTCTGAACTCATCTTTTGTTAAATCAAAAAGCACAGCTCTATGTATATCATTTTTGTTAAAGCTTCAGCTGGCTGATAATGATGTGGCTGCTTAAAAGAAAAGCACAAATAATATATAACGGTAAAAAATAAAAAAAAATCTCAAAACAACCTAGCAAAATACAACAGCCAACAGCTAATGAGTAAAGTAGGAGCGAGAAAGAGAAAGAACTATGTCTTTGAGGATACCTTGGCAGTTTTATTTGCACTCAGTCTTCTGCGAAAGGAGGATTTAGCAGCTGGTGGTACAATCTGTGTTTCCAAGTTCTTACTGTTTTTTGTACAGATTCTAGGTAATATTTCAAAATAAGGATTTGAAGACTGCATGAAAATTTTCTTTCACTTAAAGTAAATTATAAATAAAATCATATATATATATTTTATTTTATATTTTTTTTCTTAGTGGTGAATGCTACCAGTTAGTTTTAAGCTATACACACACGCTTGCCTCTTTATCTGGTACATCTTGCTTGGATTTCTCAGATATTAGGCCAATTTTGACTTGATCATAAAGGGTATGATCAGCAGCCATTCAGTGATGTTCAGGCGGGTACTAATGGTTCAAACAGCCAGGTTTCACATAAACGTGTCTGCTCATTCTCCTCTGACATCTACAAGGCACTTTTAGTCAACCAGTTGATAAGGTTACTGAATTTTGCCTGTTTTTTGGACCATTCTCTAAAAACCTGAAAATTAGTTGTGAAAAAAATTCTCAGTGTAGATGTTGGCACATGTAGATATCTCAATGCACTGAGTCACTGCGATTTTCTTTAACAGTGACTCATTGCAGTCTATCGCAATTTGTGTCCATAACCAATTGCAAACAGGTAAAAGTGACTGGTGAGTCTATATTTCTGCCACATTAACTTTTGGAGAACTGTTCTGTTCCCCAAAAGTAAAATTGATTAATTTTAATAACTCAAATGTGATTATTACATCTTGCAATTAAAACAAAATACCCAGTTAAACTGCATTCAATACCAACTGTCTTCTAAGAAGTAGAATGAAACAGATCTCCCTTCATATCCTGAAGCTCCAGGAACACCAGGGTTTTTTTCTTACTATCATTTCCTTTTGTCTGTCTCTCTTGCTTTAAGTGACTGCACTCTGTGTGTTTTGCATAATTGCACTCTGCGTCCTCCGCCAGCCCGTGGCTCACCAGAGCGCCTGTGGCCAGGGACATTTTTTTCTTTTCTTCTTTTATCAAGAAAAGACGGAAACATAAGGAATGAAGTAAATAGCAAAAATTATCTTCTATGAATGCAACAAATAAAGCCACACACTGAATCTGCTCGCACCATGAGTGTTTACAGATAAAGACTTGTTTGGTGGCAAACTGCTTTTTTTCCTCAAAAAATGGCCGTTACTGTGCTTATTGAGTGAGTCCACCAAGCAGCTGGATGGGATGTTAGCCCTTTTTTCCCCTGCAGCTTTTAAGTCTTATTATAAACATCAGTGGTCATAACTGCTACAAACAATTTGGGCTTGCTTAATTTTAGGAGCGATAACAAAAACAGCTGGTACGGATAGTTTGCTTGGAAAAAACATGTTTTGAATAACAATTCTAGTTATTGTATGACATCATTCGATTCTGACTTCAACTGAAGAAAAAAAAACTGAGAATATGAATAAATATGAATAACATCCCTGGAGAAAACGTAAATACATAGTTGGACAACTTTGATTTACTTGGATAATTAAAATTCCAATCTATTTATAAATGCAAATATGTATGCATCTTAAACAGTGCCTTGTCAAAAAAAGTATACACCTTGAGTTTTTGACATGAAAAAACAACAAAACTATTTTTTGCAGTTACATATAATAAGTAGTGTAGACTTGTAACATGGAAGGACATGGTTTTCAATATTTTAAAAAATAGAGATATTAAATTTATGGCAAGCATATGTGATATTTCACAGTCCACACTCCCTCTCAGATTAAATTCCTTATGTTTCACGATCAACTTGGAGAGGTCGACATTGACAGCAATATTATGTCTTTGAGCCACTTCAGGAGTTTGTATCAAACCCTGTAACCACAGTAAAATATATAGGGTGATGTATTAGGGTTGCACTGTTGTGTGCATTCAAGTCCCGGCCTGGGTTCTTTCTGCATGGAGTTGAAGATGGAAAAAAGATGGAAAACTTTAAAAAAAAAGATGGAAAACTTTAAGGCGTATGAATACTTTTGGAAGAAACTTTATAATAAAATGTACTAAATATTGTATGAGGCATTTTTCTGCAATGATACTCAAAGCTAAAATAAAATAGACATGACTGCTGATGGAAAGGAATAGTGGGGATTGATGTGATAAAGTCCATTTACTCCCTTACAATGATGAAAAATAACCCAAAAAAAAAACTAGCCAAGTTATATTCAAGGTCAGACTAGAGAACACTGAAACTTTTTTTTTTAATTTACTGATGCACTGTAATTTATTATTTTTTTTATCCAACGTAAACAGGCTATAAGTGAGACAAAATGATAACCTCATCTTCCAGTTACTCTTCAATTCAGTCAGAATAATAACCAAACACTTCCATCTTTCATCCTCCACTGCTACCCACTCATGGCTGTCTCGCAGCATGTTCACTGTCTTCATCCATTCAATGAAAAAGGCTGTAATGGGCACAGAGTCTACAACAGTTGTCTCAGCCACGACAGCTGCCCTATTTAACAAGACTGTGCAGGTTCATCTGATGAGCAGTGAGGTGTCAAGGGTTTGATAAAGGAAACTGCCTGGTCATGGCCCAACATTTTTTTTGAAAATTATTTTCAGACTTTTTTTATTTAAAATGCTGGCCAGGGGTCGACATGGATGATTTTGTCCTTAGGGAACGTCTTCTTGCTTTTAAACATTCTTGCAGGAAGATCCTGT